CTTCCATGTCCTTATAGCTCTCCCCAACCTCAGCCCAGTTCTGTTCAATCCCAACCTTAACCCACCCACCACTCTATTCCTAACCCAAGCACAACCACATCCCTTATGCGGCCTCATCCCGGTTTCTCGTGCGGCATTTCTATTCTGATCCTCACCCTAATTCTCAGCCTGATCTACACTCACATCCTAAACAGGCCAAGAACTTGCTGAAGTTCTCATTTTCTTCTGAGCCCTCCTCACTGCGCACCCTGCCCACATGCCCGTGGTGTCGGCTTGTCCTGAGTGCTTGTCTCTGACTCCCACACCATTGCACACATCACCCAGCAGTATGGTGGGCATTGTTTTTGATTTTTTGCTAAGTTTTATTTTAATCCAAGGACTTTGCTTCATACAAAATGTCATTGTAGAAACAATAGCAGAATCCAAAGTTTGGCTGATAAATATTACTCAGGCAGCAAACTAGTCAATCACAGATTTTTTTTTAAAGTGAGTCCCAGTTGTGTTGCATGGTTGGGACTTCTCTTTTTTTTTTTTTTTTTAACACTGTTCTTAAATATAAAGTTTTGCAACAAACCTTTGATTTATATCAAATATAATTAAAAATTAACAAATGAATACATTGTATCAAAAAGTACGAAGATATACATTTTCATGCACATACTTGTATATATGTATATATGTATATATTTTACATGCACACGTAACTTATTCAAACTACAGCCACTGCTTGACTGGTTCCAGATGCAGACAACTGGTTGATGCACTTAAAATTTGGCAACTCACTATGAGATTTCAGGGGAAACATATGATAGCTGAGAAGAGACGGTGCAGGAACAAAACCCAACATCAGGAAACAAGACACGACATCTCCTCCCCACTCCCTGTAAATTTCACCAATTCCAGAGTCTAGGGGAATCCAGACACGCCAGCGAGGCTGTGTGGATCTGGAAAAGCGGATTCTCCACCAGACATGGCTTGGGGAAGCAGCTGTGGTTCTGCACGGAATGGATACATTCAAATTAACGCGGCTGGGGGAGCAAAGACAAAACAGCAGCTTCGAAATACACGACCTTCTGCTTTGCAACAGGAGCACAGCATTCACATGCACAGTCAGAGACTCCAGTTCAGTCATATCCTACTGGAGTAAAATACTCTGTTATCTTAAAGTTTCAGAGTGTTGTGCCTTCGAGTACGGAAATTCTATAAAATGGTTTGGTCACAATCATGCTGAAACCCTAGAACAGGGGGTGGTCTTGTGTGTCTTGTTGCATAACCCTATGAGTTAACGGCATCTGCTCCCTGGGACGCACCTCCACACACGGACACGCACATACACCACACACCACGTTTCTTGAAGGAGAATCCTGGGGTAAAAGCCAATGGGGACACTCAAATGATCCAGCAGAGAGGTCATTTGACATTTCAGAACGTGGAGGACACACCAGAATCAACTCGTCTAAATGCTCCTTTTCTTCCCCAAACAAAGGGTCTCCTAGCGTGTTATGCACAACATGTCAACTACAGTCTCTCCCTTTTGGGAGTGGCCACAAGGCTAAATTTTGCTTTTGCTGCCTGCTTTTCCAGAAATGGTGGAAAAGCCCATTTGGTGGGCTTCAGATGCCCCCACCTCAGCCACAGTAGCTGAGTTTCTCCATCAATCGCTTCCTCCGAGTTTAGGCCTCATCTCAGTCAGGGCGTCACATCTACTCAGACACCAGCCTCCTCACGGCCTGACGGCCCCATATCCACCCCCTAGCCCATGCCCCTCTGGGTATCATGTGAAAAGAAGCTTTCACAACGAGAGATCATGCCCTGCTTGGCACCCTCCTGTCCCTGAGTATGAGATGCAGAACAGCCTGAAAACGCCCCACACGAGCACATACTCCACTCTGTGCTGTGGTTTCCATGCGTGGGAGGGACACAGGGAATGGTCGCCCCATTTCTAGTTACATCCATGCCCCGGGATGTCGTCTGAGTGTTCTCCGTTGACACCAGCTCTCTACTTGGTTGCTGTTTGGAACAGTTTCCACAAAACCCACCCACAGTTCATACAGGCCTCACATCACCACTCCCGGAGCCTGGCGTGAGAGGGCTCAAGGTCAGGCACTTGGTCGACAGCAGCGGGAACCAGGGGTCGTCTGGGGACCACCCGGACCGCACACAAGAGCGTCTCCTCATGAGTGTCACAAACACACAGCAGGAAAACTGATTTCCCCACAGGTTTGATTTTTTAAAGTAATGTCAACATTTCCTTCCCAGTCCTTCTGTTTTCTATTTTCTCTAGATCAAGTATACAGAATCGACAAAAGAGTGAAGGGTGTTGCAATTAAAAACCAAAACCCACAGCAGGAACATTTTCCAGATTTGGTCCCTGTCGGAGCTGACAGTGTCTGGAGAGGACAGAGCGCATCTGAGTGTGTTTCTAGCATCCATTTGCTGCCGAAGGTACGAAGAGCACGCCGGCGCATGTGGCGCGGGAGAGGCCTGCACGGAACAGCGGCCAGGCTACCAGATGCGGGGCTGCAGCTCTGTCATTGCCGACTTTGGCCCGCAGTCTCGCGACGCTTATAGACATGCCCGGCCCTCTGTAGCACACATTTGGATAAAGGATGCTCCCAACAAGATTTGGCCCTCCTAAAAAAGGTTCCAAGCATGCACCCCAGATGCTGGAGTCCATCACACAGGACTCAGACTGGCTGGGTCCTGTTCAACACACACGGCTGCTTCCTGCGTGGGGTCTGTGGGGTGAGACCCTGGAAGGCAGCAGAGGAGGAGATGGAGGAAGCCCAGCCCTCTACAGAAGGGCTCTAGTCATCCATTCAGCGTGAGAGAGGAGAGGGGAGCAGGAGGGCCTCCACTCAGCTTGCCCGGGAGGGCGGCCCCTCCTCCGAGGAGCTGCCGCGCCCGCCCTGGAGCCCGGAGCATCCCCAAGAGCCCAGCGTGGATGATAAAACTCATCGACGGGAACATGCCCGCTGAGCGGGTGCGTGGCGGCAGTGGGGCACAGCTAGCACCAGTGGTCTTGGTCGGGGTGGTGGTAGCTGTGCCGTGCCCGGCTGCCTGAGCTGAGCCCCAGAGTGCAGTGGTAGCCGTTGGGCACACGGCGGAGGGGGTGGGACTGGGAGGTCAGGGAGGACACGTAGGAAGTCCGGGAGGAGCGGCCCGAGTTGGTGGCCACAGCCTCCTCGAAGGTGAGCGTGTCCTCAGGCTGGGTGCGGGCAGCGGCCTCGCTGTCCAGACGCTGCCCCAGGTAAGGGTCGGAGCCGATCCGAGAGCCAGGAGCCAGGGGCTGGCTGAGGGGGTCTCTCTGGAGCAGGGCATTGTGTTCAGAAAGGCCGCGGCTAAGTCGGCCAGGGGAGAAGGCGGGGAGGCTGGTCTGAGCCCCGGTGAAATGGACGGGTGAGGAGTTGGCCGTCTTGTAGGTGATGCTGGGACGGGGGGTCAGGGGGGTCTGGGGGAGCTGCCTGCGGCCCCCACGGCCAGGGGTGCTAGCACCAGATGTTGACAGCAAGGGGCTCCCATTCACCGAGCCACCACCCTACAAGGAAACAGAATAGAGCAAATCAACTCTGAGGACAAGACAATACGACAGAGCAGGTGAGAGGCAGGAAGCAGCATGAGGGGCAGAGCCGGGCAGGTGGGCTGCACCTGGGGTGGCCCAGGAGGCAGTGGGCAGGGGTGCAGGATGGGAAGGCCCTGGGCATCAGGCTCGGATGGCAGGTGATGGGAAGGGATGCCCTGGGGCCCAGAGGAGAGGAAACCAGAGGCGGGCCTGCCCCGGTGGGGAGGGAAAGTAAGGAAGCGACTGGAGAGGACGAGGTCGGCAGGAGCGCAGACCCAGGCCTGGGAACAGGGCACGAGGGCCCAGCGGGTGGGGCACGTGTGGAGGGGCAGGCTGCTCACCCTACCTGTCGTGGGGGTCCTGGCTCCTGCCCGGCCGTCGGTGACGTGGGGTGGCTGCCAAGGGCAGGCTTGGGCTGTGGGGGCTCACGGCCCCCAAAGCGGTCGCAGGAGTAGAAGCGCTGCTTCTCAGAGGAGGAGGAGGAGGGCTGCCTCCGCTCCTGGGACCGGCCACGCTCCTGTCTGCGCTCCCGCCGGCAGCCTGCGGGCCCCTCTGCCAGGGGCGGCCCTGGCCCCGCAGTGCTGCTGGGGGCTGGCAGGGAGAGGAGAAGTCAGCACAGGAAGCTGGCCAGGGACAGACCCCAGCCCAGACCTGGTCTACACCACCTGCAGGAGTCCCAGGATTGGAGCTGGGGGTAGGGTGGTCCTGCCTGGTCCCCTACCCAGGGCCAGTGGTGAGGTCGTGAGGTACAGAAAAGAAGAGGGTCCCCCATGGGCTCTTGGACCCCCTGCTCAGGCCCACTCACACTTGAGAGCCCTGGCACGCACCGCCATCCGTGTCTGCAGACAGGCTGGGCCCCTTTTCCAGGGACTTCTGCTTCCGGTCCCTGCGGCGGTGGCAGCGGTGGTGGTGGTGAGGCGCCTGGCTGGCTGGCGCACGGTCCAGGGCAGCAGTGCAGAGATGGGCCACGTGGGAGCGCTGTGGTGCCAGCGTGGAGATGGAGCGCTTCATGGGACTGGCATCTGGGGCCGGCTGCAGGGACACGGGCAGTGCGGCCTGAGAGTGGGGCCCGGGGGAGGTTGGGACAGCAGGAAGCAGCCATGACACAGGCCAGGGCTCAGGGACAGCAGGACAAGTCCCGTCGGGAGAAATGAGCCTGAGACTCAGGCCCCACAGCTGGGGCATCTCCCCAGACATGCAGGTTGAGCTCCCTGGGGGGAAGCAGGTCTGGCAGGGTCCCCCGGAAGGCCGCACTGAGGGGCCAGGGCTCAGGGACCACCTGGCCTGCCCTTCTCCCTGGAAAGCTCTTCCCACTCAAGACACCCCTTTCCTCCAGAGCACAGCACTCTTTATGTGGTGTCCTCCCTCCCAGGCCGGGTGGGGCCTGAGCAGCCTGTCAGCCTCAGCGTCCCGAAAGGACAGAAAGGAGGCCAGGGAGAAGGAGGATGCTGGCCTGGCCAGAAGAATCTCCAGTGGGGGCCCAGAGGTGCCTCAGTGGCTGCAGCGTGATCACTCTGCCAGCCGTCTGTCCACCCAGGACTGTGAGGCTCCTCCCCCAGGGCTGAAAGCAGGACCTGCAGACATCAGCCCTCCCACAGCCACCACTTGGCACCACGAGCCCCAGAGGGAAAAGAGGCACGACACAGGCCGTGCACTCACTGAAGAGAGGCAGCCATCATGGGGCAGTGGGCAGAGACAGAGCAAGAAGTAGGAAGTGAGGACAGTGCAAGAAGGAGGAAAGAGGAAGGGAGGAAAGAGGAGGGAGGAAGGGAAGAGGGAGGAGGGAGAAGGGGGGAGGGAGGAAGGAGGAAGGGAGGAGGGAGGAAGGAAGAGGGAGGCAGTGAGGAATGGGTATTGTGGCGAAAGCAGGGAAAGGGAAGAGGACAGAAGATGTTACCAACGGGAGTGAGTGTGACAAGTCACGAGAATAAGGTCCAAAGTAAACAGACAGAATCAGAAACCACAGAGGAGGCAGCAACAGAGCCGGAGGAGAAGCACACAGAGGGCTTGGGCCACTCTTGGGCCATCGGGAGCCGGCACACGCCCGGGCAGCCCTGAAGGTCCCAGGCAGCCCTGTCCAGCCCCTGTTGGCCAGGTCCTTGTGAGAGGAGCTCAGCCCAGGAAACACCAGAGCCACAGCCCCCTTCCCGAGACTTCCTGCTCAGTCTCCAAACCCATCCGGGAGGAGCAGGGGCCGGAGGGGCGCTACCTCCAGTGTCCAGAGAGAGAACGGGTGGGTCATTCCCAGATCCTCTGCAAAGGTGAAAAGGGTGGACCAAGCTGCGGGGGGCGGACGGGGCTGGGGAGGGAGGGGCGTGTCCCAGAGAGAGGGGCACGCCAGGCCAGGGACTCTGGCCGGGGGCAGATGCCCACGTGCCCCCACAGGAGGCTGAGCACAGGTGGGCGGTGGGGTCTCTGCTGGCCTGGCCGCACCCCGTGACCAGCATTGTGCTCTGGGGTGGCCCAACGGGGCTGACTGTGTCCAGGCTGCAGAGCAATGGGGAGGCCCCACCCCAGCAAAGCCGTCTCCATACCAGATCTCAGCCCCACTCCCTGACCCTCCAGACCACCCACCTGAGTCTCTGCCGCCAGGCGGGGCATGGAGGCCGCTCGGCCCTGGCTCTCCAGCCCAGGTTGGGGCTCCCCATCAGGGCCTCTCAGGGCCATGCTCTGCATCTGGACATCCACAGCCTGGGGGTACAGCAACCCCCCAGTCACACCTGGACCCCAGCACCCCCAGCCCACTCTCACCCCCTCCCCATCCCTGTCTCAGCCCCATCCCTGTCTCGCCCCATGCCTGTTTCACTCCCCAGCCCTGGGCACCCTCACTGATTTTCCTGGCTGCACCACTGGGATCTCTGCAGAGTGGCCGCGCTCCAAGGGTGTCCTCGCCTCATAGGGCCCCTCCTGGGTCCTCTGAGTGCCCCAGGAGACAGACTCCTTGATGCCACTCTCTTGGGTTTGTCTGTGGAGAAGAGAGAGTTGTCCTGTTGGCTCGGAGGTCCATGGCTCCCAGAATGCCCACCCAGGACCTGGCTCCAAACTGCCAGGAACCCTATTGGTACCCCCTGTTCTGGGTTAGAGGGAACTCAGAGGGGTGAGGCCCCTCGAATGCAGGTACCCTCAAGTGGAGGCACAGCAAGTGACACGGACACAATGCTTGGGCTCAGAGCAGACAGACAGAGAGGAGGCCTTGGATACCAACCGAGCGAAGGCTGGGCCCACTGCTTCCTGGTCTAGGGACATCCAGTACGTTGCTCAGCCCTAGACAGAGGCTCACGAGTGCAGTGGGAACGGAACTGCTCACAGCAAGGACAAGGCCACGTGTGTATGGTGTGCACAGTATCTAGCAGCTGAGGACGTCTTGCCACCACAGGCGCGTGGCCAGCCCTGAGCCCATGGCCCCGCCTGGGGCACCTCCTCTTTCTCACCTCCAAATTCAATGGCTCCTCCCCACATCCCTGACCCCCAGCCACACAGGCCGTTCTGCCTTTCCAATCTAGGCTCCAGTGTCGCCTATTGGGGGAGCCCTTCCCTGGGCATACGCAACCCATCCACCTGCCTTTCACTGTCAGTGTCTGTTTCTCTTATGTCTCCCAAGTGGCAGTGAAACTGCCCGGCATTTGCCTGGTACTGCTCCTTCTCGTGTTCAGTCACCCAGGCTGGGGGGCATTAACTGCACTCTGAGCTCAGAGGCAGAGCCAGCAGATGGTCTCAGCCACCTGCACTAACGACCAGATCAGTCCCAGCTGGGGCTTCTGAGAACATCCTTCCTCTTCCCACAGTCGCAGCATCTCCCGGCAGTGTGCTGTGTGGAGCTGCAGCAGCCTCGGGAAAGGCTGAGCCTGAGAGGAGGCATGCCCGGGAGCACAGAAGCTGGCTCCCAAGGCCTTGTCACCCCTGAGGTCCCACTGCACTGAAGCCAGGTGTGCTCTTACAGCGTCCGCTAGATGGCAGTAAAGGCCCACTGCCCAGCTCAGGAGTGGTAACTGATTTGTGTAGAAATTATAACCAGCGAAATAAGGGATGTTCATTCTCCTGAGCTGAAAGCCCAGCTCAGGTCAATCCATAAAGATGCCTCACCACCCCATTCCCTCCAGCACACGCACACTCAGATCAACTGTTTAAATGCAAAAATGAGATCTTAACCAACAAGGAGAAGGGAGACCACAAGAACAAGGGGGTTTCCAGGGGCTCTGGAGGCCAGCCCCCAGGGTCTGTATGCGCTACTCAGGAGCACAGTCTTCACACGGCACGTGCACAGTTCAGGTCAGGCTCTCCTGGTGTTCTGGAAGGTCTCCCACTCTGGATGTGCACCCCTGCAGGGTCGCCCCTGCATCAGCTCGGGCTGCCACGACTCGCTCCGGCTGGTGGGACATGAGGAGTGGCCTGAACATCTGCACCCCGCCCTCACCACACGGGGCAGTCCAGACACTGGATGGAGACCAAGCCATCCTGGGTCCATGTGGCCCAGAGGAGCTGGCCCAGGCCAGACCCAAAGAACTGCCAAGTTGGCCCCTAAATGCGAGAAGTAACACACCACTCAGCAACGACAGTTTGTTCCTCAGCAAAAGCTACCTGACTAACAGTCCATGACCCAAAATCAGGCTTCAAAAAGGAACTTTCAAAACAAGTGCAGGAGAGGAAGAATCAGGGTCCTGGCCCACCTGGCCTCCCTCCAGGACAGCGGGTCGGGGTCAGGCCCCACTCTCAGCACTTGCTGGGTGAGGCACAGCACACCTCTCTGCTGGGGGCTCAGCCAACAACTCATTTTGGCCAAGGGATGTTAGCAGACATGGGATCCCCAGTGGCCCCGGGGGGTGCCGAGAAGACCTCGCCCTCCAGTGGAGCCCAGCCTGGCCACCAGCGACCACCCCTCAGAGATCCACGATGTGAAAAAACTGATTGTTATTTTACATCACTTGGTTTTGGGTGGTTCATTATCAAGAATGATTGCGGCAAGAGTTACGTGATATAGAAGGACCTTACCAATTTGCCTACAAAACAAAACTGCTTCAGAAATCAGTACCAGCATGGAAATCTGAGAGGAAAAATGTCTTAAAGGAGTTACCAAGATTAGAAAACGAGGCCATTAACAGAACGGGGTGAGGACCTGAGACAGAAGGTGTGCAGGCATCAAAGGCCGGGGAGGAGGAGAGGAGAAATGGTCATGCAAGTGGAGGTGAGATGGGGTCTGAACTGTCGAGATCAGTTGACCTCAGTGCTGGCAGAGGCACCTGTCTAGCATTAGGGGAATAATTTTACAGTCCACCATAGAGACTGCTCACAGCAGATGTGGACCAGCTTTCGGGTGGCACCCACAACGACATCTGAGTCGAGGTGGGTTTGGGGTCGATGGCAGAGCCAATCCTCAAGAGCTGTGATGGGACTTTAGGGCTCCCTGTGCCAGAGCGCTGCCCACGGGGCACCCCTCAGGTGTCCAGCAGGAGTGAGAGTGGGGCAATGGGGGCAATGGGGACACTGGGGGCCCTGCTTTCTCCCTGCACTGCCTGCCCTGCGCCAGGTACTCACACGGCCCCACCATTGCTGAGGGAGGCTGAGCTCTTCTGCCGAAGGAAAACCCGGGCTCCTCGGAGAACAGCTGGCTGCGTCTGCTCCAGCGTGGCCTTCAGAGGGTGGAACAGGGACACGGGGCCCATCTGCAGGAGGGATGCAGGAAGGACGAGGAGCCCTGAGGGCCAGGGAGGTGCCTAAACGACCTGCCCCGACCCCACAGCACAGCACAGGCTCCTTGTGTCTCAGTCAGGCCACTGGCCTGCCCTGCTCCAGGCCCACCCCTACATATGAGGCAGCCAGGGGCCAGCTCCCAACCTGGCCTGTTGGTGACTCAGGAAAGGCACCTCGCTTCTCTAGACCTCAGTTTCTCTACCTGCAAAATTCATGGACTGGATCTGATTACATCTGGCAAAAAGATTTCGTCTCATCATCACCTTGGACTGACTGGCGAGGGGGTTGGAGCCCTAGGCTGAGCAGAATTCTGGGGAGATTCCAGGGCGGGAGGTGTCAGCACAGACAAGGGAATGGGTGTGGGCACCGGATACTTCCCGTCCCAAGGGGTGAAGGTAAGCTCTGAGTATGGGACAATTTTCTAGGCAGAGTCCACACACAGTCAGTGACGGTTCTGCTGTGTGAGAAAGCCACTGTCTTTGAAGGATGACATCAGGAAGATGGGCCCCCAAACCACCCCAGTCAGAGGCCTGGTGCACAAGTTGTAATTCTGGACTGACAGTTTGAGTCTTTTTGGTCCCCGCCTGGTGTCGGGTACACAGATTCTCCTCCTCCCAAAGCAACCTCCTCAAGTACTCTTCATGACCTTTCTTCTACCACTTAAGAAAGGAGTATTGCCTAGAGCCTCTGTTCTCAGCCACCTTCTCGCCGGCCCCACCACTAGCTCTCCAAGTCAGGGCCTCCCTGGTACCACCAGGCAACCAACTAACAGAAAGTAGAAAGGAGCCAGAGAGGCTGCTGCAAGAACCTCTCATCTTCCTTTTCCCGCTGCACTTTCTCCAAGAAGCGTGTGGTCTCCACTGCTGTCAAACAACTCAAGGATGCCAGAGTCCCAGAGTTACTTCTTGGGAATCCCAGAGCCCGGTACCTGGGACAGGCCTCCAGGAGCCTGGTGAATCTGGTCTCTAGTGGTTTTGTTCTGTTTGTAGAAGTCAAATATCATCAGAGCTGCGTAGACTTTCCCCACTGTCATCTCATCAGCTGAAAGAAGAGCAGAGGTTCTAGTTTGCAGGAGAAAGGGGACAGACAGCCACAGACAACGTGGGATGAGGAAACAGCCCTCCACCACGAGGAGCCCTGGACATGCTGGGGCAGGAGCACGGGGCTTGGCCACCACTCGACGCTGAGCTCATCCCTCCTGGAGCTGCACTGATTCTTCTCGAGGCCCCACTCCACCTCGCACGGGGCCCTCAAGCTCCTGCCAGCAAAGCGGACTGGAGGTGAATCTTTCAGCACCTCATCCCTTCTGGCGTCTCTAACTGCAGGAGTCTCCCTACCTTTTCTCTAGATTTTTTGAAGTAAACTCCCCACACTAGGAGTGTGGATGACTTCGCTCAACAGAATAAAGGCCATCTTCTCCACAGCTCCTGTGCACCTACTCTGAAGACCAGCTTTCCCTGCAGGGGAAACTGAGTCCAGACTATCGAGGAGGTGAGCCTCCCTCTCCAAGGTGACTCGACAGTTGGCCTCACCCAGGCCTCCCTGCTCTGCCTCTGGGTGGGACGTGAAAGGGGGGTGGGCAGAGGGACTCTCTCACTCACGTTTATGGGGTGGCACCAGTAAATCCAGGGTCTTCTGGGGCAGATTGGCCCACACAGAGGAAATCTCCTTTCTCAACTCTGCGTCGCACTGATGCTGCTTCGTGCCAGCTGGGGCGGGACAAGGGTAGGGACGGAAGAGATGTCAGGAGCCATCCCGCAGCCCCTGGAGGGAGGCAGAGCGGGCGCAGGCGGAGAGAAACATGGTGTTGGGGAAGATATGGCAGAGATGGCGCTGGAAGGAAAGTGCAGGGGGAAGAAGCGCTGCCCTGGAGCTGGTCCAAGCCCTCCTTACCAGAACCTGCCTAGAGCAAGAGGCGCATGAGCCGAGCCTGCAAGTGGCTCGGGACGTGTGCGTGGGTGGGGGGTAGGGAGGGAAATGGCAGTGCTCTAGCCACTCATCCGTCCACTCAATACTATTTACTGAGTGCACACCAGATGTCCGGTACTGTTCTAGCAGACAGAACAAAACAGAAGAAACCACCCTTCTGGAGTCACAGGACTTTAATCTACAATAAAGTAGCAATAAGTTAAAAAAGCCCAGTCGGTTGGATAGAGGAAAAGCCAAGTGGGGAGGGATAAGAAATATCTAGAAGGCTGCAGTTTGGACAAGGTGGTCAGGAGAGGTCTCAGAGAAGGTTGTCAGTGTGTAAGACCTTGAAGGCAAGGACCCCGGAGTGTCACATGGTGAGCAGGAAGGCAGGGCTGGAGCAGGGGAGGGCGCGCAGGTCAGAGACGCTGAGACAGGAAGCAGAGCAGCGTTCTGAGCAGAGGGATAAAATATCCTGATTTATCTTTTTTAACAATAAAATTCACCCTTCTTAGTTACCCCATGCTATGAATTTTGGTAAATGCGTACGGTCGTGCATCCACCACCACAACCAAGACACGGACACCATCACTGTCAAGCCCCTCGGTGCCCTCTGCAGTGGAGCTTCCTCCTGGCCCCTGGCAGCCACGGATGTGTCCTCTGTCTCCAGGGCCTGCCTTCTCCAGAACGTCACGCCATGGCGTCACACCAGGTGCCGGCCTTGGGGTCTGACTTCTCTCACTCAGCGCCATGCATCTGAGGCTCCCCTGCACTGCTGAGCCTCACTGTATGGACAGACCGCTTTGCTCGTCGGCTCACCAGCTGATGGGCATTTGAGTTGTTTACAGTTGTGGGCGATTATAAAGGAGGCTGTAAACATTCGCATATAAGTTTTTGTGTGGACATATATTTTCATTTCATCCCACTTAGGAGTGGCTGGGCCATACGATAAGGAACTACCAAACTGTTTTCCAAAGTGGTTGCACCAGCTTGTATTCACACCCGAACACTGAAGAAGTCCAGTTTTCTGCATTCTCACCAGCACTTAATATCATCGTTAAAAAAGAATTTTAGCCATTATAATAGGCATGTAGTGTTACCTTGTTGTAGCTTTATTTTGGATTTCTCTAATGACTAATGATACTGAACATCCTCACATGTGTTTATTTGCCTTCCATATATCTTCTTTGGTGATGTGTCTGTTCAAATCTTTTGCCCATTTTTGGGGAGTTGTTCATTTCCTTATTACTGAGTTGTGAGAGATCTTTAGATAGTCTGGAAACAAATCCTATATCAGATATGTGTTTTGCAAATATTTTCTTCAAATCTTTCACTTGTCTTTTCATTTTCTTAAATGTCTTTTGAAGAGCAAAAGTTTTTAATTTTAATAGAGTTCAATTTATCAGTTTTTTCTTTTATAATTTATGCTTCTTATATCTTAAAAAATCTTTGCCTAACTCAAAATTGCAAAGATTTTTCTCCTGTGTTTTCTTCTACAGGTTTTATAATTCTATATTTTGCATTTATGTCTATGACCCATTTGAAGTTAATTTTTGTAAAAGATATGTGCTATGGACTGAATTGTGTCCCCCACCAACCCACTCATAACCCCCAATATGACTATACTTGGAAATAGGGCCTAGAAGGGGGTAATTAATGTGAAATGAGGTCATAAGAATGGGCTCTATCCAATAGCGCTGGTGTCTAATAAGAACAGGAAGAGACACCAGAGAGCTCGCTCACTCTCAGTATGCATGCAGGGGACAGACTGTGTGAGAGGAGAGACAGAGAAAGCGGCCACCTACAAGCCAGCAGAACAGGCCCCAGAATGAGACCTACCTTCCTGGCACCTTGATCTTGGACTTCTAGCCTCCAGACTGTGAGAAATAGATTTCTGTGTTTAAGCTGCTCAGTTATGTTATTTTGTTACAGCAGCACAAGCAGACTAAGACAGCAAATGTCAAGATGGGTGGGGAGTGGGGGGCACACAGTTGTCTAACCTTTTCTAGCAACATTTGTTGAAAAATTATCTTTTCTCCATTTAATTGCCCTTGCAACTATATTGAAAATCAATTGATTTAAGTGAAAATAAATTTATTTAAGTGTGAGTCTCTATCTGGAGGCTCTATTGTGTCCCATTGATTTTTGTCTCCATCTTGTCATCAACACCACATACCTTAAACAACGCAGCTTTATAGAAAGTCTTTGATCCACATAGGGTGAGTTTTCTAACTTTGTTGTTCTTTTTTCAAAACTGTTTTTGTTACCCAAGTTCTTTTGCTTTTCTACATATATTTTATAATTGGTTTATAAATTTCTACCCAAAAAGCCTGTTGGGATTTTGATTGGGATAACATTGATTCTATTGATCAATATGGGGTGAAAAGACAACAATATTGAGCATTTCAACTCATGAACATGGCACAGTGCTCGATTTTTTTGGGGCTTCTTTGATTCCTTTAGTAAAGGTTTTGAAATTTGCAGCCTATAAGTCTCACATATATATTTTTAGAGTTATCCAGCAATACAGAAGTATTTCATGTTTTCAATGCAATTTTAATGGAACTTTTTAAATTCCAATTGTATTTGCTAATATATAGAAATACATTCACTTTTTGCATCTTGACCTTGTATCCTGTGACCTTGCTATATTCCTGTATTAGTTTTAGTAACTTTTTTTTTTAATGGTTTAAAACAACAGGAACTTATCATCTCAGTTCTGGAGGCCAGAGGCTCAGAATCAAGGTGTCAGTAGGGCCCTGCTCCCTCCAAAGGCTCTTATGAAGAATCCTTCCTTGCCTCTTCATAGCTTCCAGTGGCTCCCAGCAATCCTTGGCTTGTACATGCCTCAGTTTCATTAACTTTTTATTAGACTCATTGGGATTTTTTGCACAGATAATGACATCAATTGTGAATAGAGGCAGTTTCATTTCTTTCTTTCAACTGGTACATCTCTTATTTCTTTTTCTTGACTTACTACAATGGCTAGGACCTCAAGTACAATGTTGAACAAGAATGGTGACAGCAGACATCCTTGTCTTGTCCTTGATCTTAGGGGAAAGTAGTCTGTCTTTCTTCATTAAGTATGTCATTAGCTGTACGTTTTTCATAGAGATCCTTGATCAGATTTAGGAAGTTTCCTTTAATTACTAGTTTACATAGAATTTTTTTTAAGTCATGAGTGGACATATTTTGTCAAACGCTTTTTCTGCATCTATTAAGATGATCATATAGTTTTTCTTCTTTGATATATTAAATTATATTGATTGATTTTTAAACTTGAACCAACTTTGCATTCTTGGGATGAACCCTACTTTTGTCATAATGTATTAATATGCATATATATATTCAGTTTGCTAAATTGCATTGAAGATTTTTGTGTCTATATTCATGAGGGATGTTGATCTGTAATTTTCTTTTCTTGTAATGTCTTTTTCCATTTTTGGTATCAGAGCAATGCTGGCCTAATAAAAACAGTTGGGAAGTATCCTCTCTTTTTCTATTTTCTGGGAGAGTTTGTACAGAATTGGCATTATTTCCTCCTTCAGTGTTTGATAGACTTCACCAGTGGAGCCAACCGGGCCTGCAATTTTCTTTCTTGGGAACTTTTTAACTATGAATTTAATCTATTTAATAAATATAATATTACTCAGGTTATCTATTCTTTTTTTCAGATTATCTATTCTTGAATAGTTTGATAGTTTGTCTCAAGGGATTTTCCCATTCCACTTAAGCTGAATTTTCCCATTCACATAAAGTTATTCACAAAATTTCCTTATTACCCATTTATATGTCAGCCGGATCTGTGGTGGGATTCCCTCTTTTGTTCCTTATATTGGTTATTTTTATTTCCTCTTTTTTTCTTGATCAGTCTAGCTAGAGATTTATTAATTTTATTCATTTGATTTTTAACATGATCATTCTGGCTGCTGTGTTGAAGGAAGACTGAAAGGGGCAGGGCATTAGCAGATCAGTTAGAAGCTACTCCGACAATTCAGTTAAGAGCCAAAAGAATGGTTTGGACCAGGAGGTAGCAGTGAGAGAGGGTAGAGAAGTGACCATGTTCTGCGTGTATTTTGAAGGTAGAGTCTGAGGACATGATAAGAGATTAGATATGGATCAGATGGGGTAAGAAAAAAAAGAGGAGAAAAGAATGACTCCAAAAGTTTTGGTTTGAGCAGCTGGAAGGACAGAGTTTCCATGGAAGAGGATGGGGAAGACTACGGGAATACCCGTTTGGGCAAGTGAACTTTGGATGTTTATTGGCCTCCAAGTGGAGATGGGGAATAATTTGTGGGATATATAGGTCTGGAGGCCTGACTGAAAATACAAAATTGGAATTCACAATATTTAAACCATGGGAATAAGTGATATGGCAAAGAGAACAGTCTGAGGCACTCAGTGACATTCAGAGATTGGGAGACACGAGAAACCACAAAAAGAGACATAAAAGGGTTTCAGAAAGAAGGAAGTGACAACTGAGAAAAGGCTGCATAGGTTCACGGGACAATGGTTGAGAATGTGGAGGTGACTGGAGGGCTTATCAAGAGCAGCTCCAGCAGTGTGCTGCAGCGACTGGAGACAGAGACAGAAGTAAAGCAATACAGACCAGTCTTTCAAGGAGCTGGCTGCTATGAAGGAGAGAAGAAAAATAGGCAAGTCGATGGAGGGGGAAGAGAAGAACTTTTGAAAGATGAGAGAAATAACAGCGTGTTTAGATCTTGATACAAACAATCCAGTAGAGAGAGAATGACGGGGCAAGAAACAGGGTACAGAATTCCTGGCATGACATCCTCAAGTAGGTGATGAGAACAGGACCTAGTGTGCAAGGCGGGGACTGGCCTGGACTCATCCGTTATACAAGAGATGGCCAAGCTCAAGGGCACGGCTGCAGGGAGGAGGGCAATGTGGGTGTGGGGTGCAGGTCCCCTCTGGTGACTCTGTTTCTCCGTGGAGGGGAAGTGGCCATCACCTGAGGGTGAGGGTGGGGAGGACGTGCAAGAGTGCCATTCTCTCCTGACTTGGCACAGGCTATGCGGTCCTGTGGGTAAGCTCAGGAGAGGGCCTGATGGCTCGCTATGGGGAGAGGGCAGAAGGCACACAGATGCTTCACCTTGGAAGGGGTGCTGGCTCATGTGAGGCAGGGCCAGGCTGTGTTCTGGCTCCAATACTCGCTAGCTCTGGGTAAGCTGGACAAGTCAGTTAATTTCACTGCATCTCATTTTCCTTATATGAAACTGGGGTCATTACAGTGCTAACATGCAGGAAGGTTATCAGAGGATAAGGCAGCACCCAACAGAGGCGCCATGGGCAGCTGTCCTCAGTCCCCTCCAGACAGGCCCCCTCACCCCTCTCCCTGCACACCAGCCTAGGGGTGACTCTCAAGGGCGGTCGCGTGGCCCTGGCTTGGTAGCCTCCCCCTGAGGCTGCCTTGCTCACCTGGAGCCAGCTTGATCTCCAGTGCAGTCCGGATGAGGGCCATCAGTGTGGATGTGAAGTGGACGGTCATGTCCTCATTGGAGATGGGCATGTTCATGCGAACCAGGCGCTGGGGACAAGGGAAGAGGTCAGGGCCAGTCCTACCTGGATCCCCCTGCCACAGGACTACACAGTGCTCGAGGCCCCTAGAGGTTGGGCTTGGCCTCCCAGAGGTGTCCCTGCAGGTGCCCAGGCCCAAGTGAGGTTGGGTGGATGGGAGTTTTGCCAGCATTCACACTCACCCCTGGACCCCCACCCTCATCTGAGCTGAGGATTCTCCTGGCTGCGGAAAAGTAGAAGTCCAGATAAAGATTGTGGCGTAGGGCCAGGCCAGAAGCCTGGATCGCTCTGAAAGAACAGACCAGTCCTCAGCCAGAGGGAGCCTTGCCCAATGCATATGACTGGAACAAGAGAGCATGGTCGTGGCTGAGGAGGGAGGGGTCTGGGCTGCAGGACCAAGGCTGAGGCACCTGGGACAGCCCACAGACAGGAGGGAAGACCCCTGTCCTCACAGCTCTGCCCAACCTCAACTCCTACCCGCAGCCTGGAGCCCTGGACAAGGGGTGGGGTAGCCATGAGCGCAGCTCTGAGGTCCAGCTCCCATGGGGCACCCCTCAGCCCCAGGAAGGCTTCTGGCTCCCACCACCCAGCCAGGGGTCTGGAGGAGACGCTCAATGCCAGTCGCCCCAGGCAGCAGGGGAAGCCTTAGAGACGAGCTCCTTCACGTCCAAGGGACTCGGAACAGATGGGACCACGCAGGGCCTTGGGCTCAGACAGCAGCATGGGGGCCAGTAGGAGCGGCTCAGGGCCATCCGCCAGAATACAAGCACTCGGGACGAGACCAGGGGCAGTGCCCTGCAGCTCTGCTCCCTACTTCCTCATCAAGGCAGCAGCCTCCTTTCCTCTCTTCAGTTTCAAGGACAGAACAGGTGGAGACAGGCGTGTCTGTACCATAGTCCTCTGGGTGCAGTGGGCAGCTGCCCCAGAGCCTGAGGCTCTGAGAACTTAGCAATTTCCAGGAGGAAGAGGGTCTCAGGCATGTCTGGAATGTCCTGAGCATAGAGTGCCACCTAGCTGGTCAAGTGGAGCTTAGTGGTACTGTGACCCATCTATCTCCTCCTAGCAGCCTCCTGTCCCCTCCCACAGGACACAGGGCCCCTCCCTTGGGTCTGCCCGTCCTCTGCCAAGCCTGCACCCTGTGACAGAGCAGCTTTTCTGCCCCTTCTCTGCCTCCAGCGTCCTGGCCCCAAATCCAATCCTCAGCCTGACAGAGGGCAGGTGGCTAGAGACAAGAGCCTAGACTCTCTCCCCCGAATGCTGGCAAAGCCCCACTTGGCATGTCCAATCATGGTCCCAGGACCTCACACGTCACCTGTGTGACGCACAGCAGGAAAAATGGTTTCCCAGAGCACAGTGTCCCTGCAGACCAGCACCAATGGCAGTGGCAGAGGCACAGGAATTCCTCTCCAGGGGAGTTGCGGAGTCAGGGACCGGTGTGAAGGAGGAACAAGCAGGCGACTTCCAAGAGAGGAGAGTTCCATCCAGGGCACCTTCACCAGAGGCTCTCGTCTGCCTGCCCAGGTCCTGGAGGCCAGGAACCTGAGAAAGCAGCAGAGGGGCAGGGCCAGGGCAAACAGACAGGCATCTCTGCCCAGGGCCTAGACCCTCCCGGCCATGGCCCTCTGTGCATCTCCTGGACCCTCCCAGCTCGCCAAGCCCATCCACTCCCACCTGCACCAAGGCCTCCCCTGGTCTTTCTGTGCCCAAGACCTTGGAGTTGGCCAGTGCAGCTGGGGAGGGGCTCCAAAGGCTACCCCGTTGCGGCCCTGCCTGCCCACCCTGGCCCTGGGTGTCAGTGTGGACAGACCTCTCCTTCTTGGGGACCAAGCTATGGCCTCGCATGCAGGGCCTCCAGGCAGGCACAACATGCATGCCAGGCAAGGGGAGAGCAGAAAGATACCAGAGGTGTCTGCATGTGGCTTGGAGGAGCCACTCAGCTCCCAAAGGCTGTGCTGAGCCAAGTGACAGGCAAAGGCCAGAATTAGGGCAGAGAGACAGACAGCATGGACAGAACCAGAGACGAAAGCTCTGAGGGGAAGCTCACTCAGACGGAGGGTTCCAGACACAGGCTGGCTGAGCAATGGGACTCAGGACAGCTCCATTTGCTGGGGAGCCTGGGGGCCACAGAAGGGTTCCCAGGCAGGTGGGTGGGTGGGGTGCTAGGGGGATGGGGTGCTTACATACCAAGGAGGTGACTGAAGACGCATAGGCAGGTGGCAGCAGGCATGGGGCTGGGGCCATGTGACCTGCTCACCCACCCAGAGTGGAGGCCTGCAGGTGTCCCTCGGTTTACCCACTCCTGGCATTCAGCCTCCTGGGCTCCTCAGCAATGGGGGAGTGGGCACAGGACCTCCTAGCCCCTGAGGCTGCCCTCTCCATGGTACCTTTCCTCCTTAATGCCACAGTGCCTCCTTCCCACGGGGGTGCCCACCAAGCCCTAGAGACACTTCCTCCCCGGCCAAGTGCAGCCCAGGCCAGGGAAGTTCCGCACATGCAGAGCTGGGGTGGGCTCTTCAGATGCACCGAGGCCCTGCAGGCTGCTGCCCCACCAGAGCAGACCCTAAGGGCTGGACCACTCCACCTATGTCATGGGCTTAGGGAATAGAGGAGCCAAGTGTGGTCCTGAGCCCAGAACAAAAATAGCCTCTGTCAAAAAAGCTGGTCTATCCCCTCATTTCTAGGAAAGAGGAGGGAGGGAGAAAAGGCAGACGGAGGCCTCTGGCTCCACCTTCCTGAGCCTCTTGAGGGCTCTCAGAGGGGGCAGCCCTGGGGGACAGGGGGCCAGTACAGAGACACCTTCACAGTGTCTGTGTCCCTCTGTCTGGGAAGGAAGCAGAGACAATCGGGGCGGGGCAGAGAAGAGAAAGAACGATGAGACAGCAGCACGGCAGACAGACAGACGGACAAGCCCCGAGAGACGACGGGAGGCCAGCCCAGCACAGACAGCCTGGGGAGCGGGTCAGGGTCTACCTTGTATGCCACCCGAGCAGGGCACTTCTTCCCCAGCCCCAGGGGCGGGGACATGTGTTTCAGCATCTCAAACATGTCACTGTAACTGATGCGCCCACTGGAGACCCGGCCCAGAGAGGCAGAGGCAGAGTCGGGTCCACAGGAGGGTGCGGCAGGAGGGGCGGGGGAGGAAGCACAAGAAAACAGATCCAGTTAACCAGCGTCCGGTTAAACGTCAAAAGTCCAAATGAGTAAGATGAGGGGTTTCTCTGCTGGACTCGATCCCCTCCTTGCCCCCCAGCCTCACCTCTGCACGCCAGCCCCACACAGGGCAGCGGCAGGGGGATGTCAGAGCTAATGAACATGGAGGGATGAGGAAGGGCTGCATCGGGGCGGCTTTGGGTTGTCAACTTCTGATTTTGCACTTTTAGAAACCACAGGTAATGCCAAATCAGAAAAGAGCTGTTGCACCAGGCGGGAGGGCTGGTAGACAGTTACAGGGCCTGTGAGGCTGGCCTGAGCACCAGGCACAAACTTCAGCTTTCCTTAATTCTCAGTTTGCTCCCAAGTTAGCCTAGAGGCTAAAAGGTGGAGGAAAATCTAACACAAGCCAGAAAACTAGAGCAGGAGCTGCGCTGTTCTGCAGGGAACCCCGAGGCTCTAGAGAAACTCGACCAGGGCAAGTCCTGCTCTAAGCCCAGAGATGCCCAAGGCTGGCCCAGAGCAGGGATGCTGCTGGGTCAGGGCTGGGCGGGAAATGGGAGGCTATGGGTGGGAGTGCAGCTGGGCGGATGGGGCTTGGTACCATTCTTGCACCTCCTGACAGCACAGCAGGGCAGAGCTGGGACTGACACAAGGGACAAGGGTCCAGATTCAGGGAGGTGTCTGGGGGCCGACGGCTGCATCTTCCGGAGGTAGACAGGCTGCCAGGCCTGAAGCCTCACCTCCACCATGGGACACCTGCCTATGGGACCTGCTTGGGGTCCCACAGACACAGTCAGGTTCAGGCCACCCAGGAGAGAAAGGGAATGCCTTTTCCTGGCAGGCGGATCGGCCCCAGGGCCTGGCCCTCCTCCCAGGGTTCCAGCCAGCTGAGTATATCAATCCAGAGGTGGAGCAGGAGGGCCTGTCTTTGGGCCCCTACTGCCTCTGCCCTCTCCTGCCCCTCTTCCGACATGGAGTCGGTAGCTGCTCCTGGTCTACTTGTGCCCATGCTCCCCTCCTCTGGGGCCCCCGGCTTCTGGCCTATCTGACCATCAGCCCCTCCTCGAGAGCCCAGAGGCAAAGCCGGTGAGACAGGTGCTTCCTTGGCACAGGCAGGACCTGGCCCCTGGCTCCCACTCGAGGGCCAGCCCTCACCCTCACGGCCCAGCCAGAAAGCTGTGTGCACTGTCTCATGAGGTTCCCTGTCCCCAGCCAGCTGGAGGTTGGGGAGGTCAGACGGGGACAGAAGCATCCAGGAGGCTGGAGTGCAGGTCAGGGCAGGGTGGGAGGAGAGAGATGGGGTGTCATCATTCCCAAACCAGGCAGGGAGTGTGTGCTGTGTCTGCATTTCGGGCAGGGACGAGTATGTCGATGGAGGCTCTGAAGTCGCAAACCTTGTAGGCCAACCTACGAGGGCAGCTCTTCCCTAAGCCAACGGGTGGCGCAATACAACGCAACAAACTGTACAAATCCTTATAGTGAATCCGGCAACTGGAAAGGAAACGTCACACGTTATGGCAACCAAGGCAGACGAGCCCGTCCTGCCCGCCCCCCAGCCTGTGACGGGAAGACACGTCCTCTCATGCTGAGCAGGGGGAGCCAGGAGGCGGGACAGGCAGCACCCTGCTGGGGCCAGCCAGGGATCAGAGCACCCCAGGTGGCGTGGCAACCCCAAGAGAACTTCCAGAGCCTGGTGCAGCAGAAGACACTCGCACAAAACAGTGCTGGCCCGCCCGAGCCTCACTCTGCATACTGCATACACCACAACCATCCGGAGTCCCTCCCTGAGCCTCTGGCAGCCCCTCCCCTCAATCCAAGGGCCTGAGCCCCTGGCCTCGAGAGCCTTCTCTCCAGACCTGACTCTCCTGATTGTCCCCACTCCCTGAACACACGTGTCCCCACTGGGTCTGCTGGCCCAGCTGAGGAGCCTCCTCGTCCCAGGGGGCCTCTGGCGGACACTGATGCTTCTCTTTCCTGCACTATGGCCCCTCAGTCCAGTACCTCCAAACTGTGCTGCATTTACTTCTGGAAAAGAAGAAGGAAAGAGGAAGCCCCACTCTGGCCTCACCCAAGGTGCCTGCTAACCTCAGGGACCAGAGTGGCCACCACAAAGGGCTGGAAGCTTGACCCCCGCCCACTCCAGGGCCTGTTCCTTGCTCGTCTTCTCTCTTCTGTCATCAAACCCCTCCTGCCACCAGATGAAAAGTGTGGGCCTGATACTGTCACTCCGATTCAAAAACTGCCCCCACTGTCTATAAAACAGTCAAAGCTATTTGTTTAACCCACACATCAAGGCCCTTCTCAACCTGCCCCAGCCATCCTTCCCACCCCCACAGGCTCATCCTTGTCTCCAACCTCCCTTCCCCTCTGCCCGCCCTCTGAGCTCATCTGTCCTGCCCCTCCAAGCTCCTCCTGGGACACACCCTGGCCGCAGACTAGGTGGCGCTCTTCCCCAGGGCCTGGCGGGCAGAGGGCGCTGCTGAACAGGGCAGACACTCAGGAAGGTTACCGGGCAGACGATGAACATAAAGACGAGCAGACACACCACTCACAGCAGGTGTGGTCGTGCGCCTCCTTTCCAGTCTCCACACTTCACCGCACAGAGCAGAGGCAACAACAAAGGGAGGATGGGGGAAGGCGGCCCCAGAAGCAACAAGTCCATGCCTTCCTCATCTCCCCACTGCATGCATGTGCACACACACACACACACACACACGTGCATTCACACATGTGTACACACACGCACACATGTTCACACATAGGTGCACACATGCAAACGCCCAGGGCACTAATGTGCACCAAATGACAGATGTGCATGCTAATGATGCACATACAAAAACATGTGCATTTGCACACACGTGTGTAGGCCTGCATGAACACATACATGAACACACGTGCACACATGTGTACACCGGCCTGTGCACAAACACGTCCATGTACACATGCATATGCACACGTGCACCCATTCACATAGCCACACGGTGCAAACACTGACATACACACCCCATGAAAGCTTGGGAAATTTCACAAAGTTTTGTTATTGTTTCAAAGTTTCCTCAAGAATGAGGAGACAGCAGAGTGGTCACCTTGGAAATAAGGATGACCACATCCTCGCTTCTGTCATGGAGGCTAGTGAAAGGCTCAGAGCACCCTCTGTCCTGCCAGGACGTGGGGCCCAGACTATTCTGCCACCTCTGCTGGGCCTTCCCCTGCCTGGCTGTCTACAGATGAGCTGTTTTCAGCCTGGTGGGAGCTGCGAGTCTGAGGGTCAGCTGTGGGTCACACCTGCACTACTTCTGGACTGCAGGCCTTGCGTTGTCTTACACATGTCACCCCTGGGTGAGGCTTACATTTGGCTCTCTGCTCTTCCACACGCATCTTCTTTATCATATCCCTGACTGCCTGTGCCTTTCAGGGCCCCAGTTCTAGAACTCTGGATTTGGGAAGCCATCTGTGTCCTCTCTGGCCCAAGTCCACTTCTTGTATGTCCTAATTCTGCTCCACCTGTGGCTGATGGGGGAGTCCTGGGTCGACAGTTCACAGAGATCTGGGGGATGTCATTCCTTCTAGCAGGCCTGCACTGACCTTCCTTTGCCCATTAGTCTAGTCACATCCTATACAACATCTCTGTTTTTCTGCAACACCATCTACTCTAGAAAAAAATCTTTTTGGATGACAGTGAGGACGGCCTTCCTGGAATGGGCCTCAGTCCTGCCTCAACTGTGTCTCTCTTGCCCTCTGCCTGACGAGGAACAGGCCTCAGTGTAGTCTGTCTGCCCTCCAATCTGACCAGAGAGTGGTGGGCTCAAGCACAAGCACAGGGCAACACAGGGCAGACGTGCTGACGCACCAGGAAAACGAGAGGACTCTCAAGGCCATGAGAACAGTCACGTACACCATGAAACAAAAGCACAGCCGTGCTTGTTCTGCCCCGAGTGAGAGCTGCAACATTTGTTCCAGTGGAAACACCCAGAGTCACTGGGGCCTGGGAGTGCCTGGAGTCCCAGGGCTTGCACAGATGGGGAAGGGCCTCACCCAGCACCTTGGGACCCTCACATAATGGGGTAGGGGCTCCAGGGAGGCTGGAGGAGAAGGGGGTGAGGGAGCCCAGCTCAGTTCTCAGAGCTTTGCAGTCTTGAGGGTCAGAAAGCTCCAGAGGCCTCCCCATGCTGAGCTTCAATTTAGAGAAAAACAGGCAGAATCCCAACCACTAGCTGGGCAGCAGGATCCTCACCATGAGGACCCTGACAGTGTCCTCCAGGCCTCTGTCACACAGGGGTGACCAAACGAGGAGAGTGAGAGAGTCACCCAGGCAGGCTGGGAGCCTTGGAGACAGGGAGGTGGGCAATGCTGCACCCCCAGCTCCACGGCCTTCTCTCCCCCTAGAACATGGGAAGTGATGGGCACCCCCCACTCACTGGCGCTCGGGTCGTTCACATGCACACCTGCTGAACGCTAGCCGTGGCAAGGCGCCGAGCAGGCCAGGTCTCCTGGCCCCTCCATGTCCTGTGTTTTCCTTGCAGAGAGCATGCCCTCAGTAACTACTCAAGCAGCCACTCAAGAGACTGAATGAATGAATGAGCAAGTGAATGACTGAGTGATGAGGGAACAGACAGATTGGAAGATGGTGTTATCCATGCTGCTCTGCTAGCTCCGAGGATGAAAGAATGCCATGGTGTGCAGGACTCTCCCATGGAACATGGTCTCCAACAACCTTCTGACCCAAACCACTCCCTTCACGAGACCCTTGCTCTGTCTGGAACGAATCACCCCTCCCTTATGCAGCACCGTGAACCTTCCTCACCATGACCAAAGGGTCTTCAACAAACTAGACCCTTCCTGGTAGCTCGTGTGATTTCAATATGAGTTCACCGAGTGCCCACTATCTGCAGCCCGGGCTGGGAACACAGAGGTGCCTGGTGGCTCCTGTCCTGGAGGGGGATGGCAGAGAGGGAGAGCCCTGAGTCCATCAGGGAGAAGGTCCTAAGGCCCCACTTTATTTCTGCCCATGGAGCCCTCCAAACTCCCCAAGGATGGTGAGGCCCTGAGAGAACACCCTTCTGTCGTCTCCATGCCCTCTCCCACGGAGCCTTGCGTGGTGGCCTTGTGAGAAGATAGTAAACTCCCAAACGGCAAGAACCACAAGTCTCACAAACCCCCTGAAAACCTTCTAAGGGCTGGACTGAGGGTGTCAAAAGAGGATTTCTCAGCCCAGGAGCTGTACAAAAGCCCATGGAGAGCGAGAAGGAGAGTACCGCCCTGGGGTGGGGCGGGGGCAGCACCCTCCTAAGAGGAGCGGGATGGAACCCAGGGACCCAACCAGCACCCAAGGGGGGATGCTCACTTGAAACATGTCTGAAGCCACCCCAGCCCTGTCCTGAGATCCGTGGGCACGGACCACCCCTTAGGACCATGGAGTGTGGGGGCTCACTCACCACGCAGCCGGGTCGTACTCAGCCCAGACCCGGATGAACTCGTCCAGGTGGTGAGGCCCTAGGATGGAAGAGTCCCGCGTAAGGTACTCAAAATTGTCCATGATCACAGCCACAAAGAGGTTCAACATCTGCAGGACAGGAAGGAGAAGAGGTGACATAGAGAGACCTCAGTCTGCCCTCTCCCGCCACCCCTAACCCTCCAGCCAGTCTGTGTGTGAAGTGACCAGGGCAGCAGAGGTCACTGACACAGCTGGAGCCTGCCCAGACCTGCCCCTGACAGCCTTGCGGAGCACTCCTGGGGCCTCCTCCACACAAGCAGCAGCCTCGTCCCCCAGGGTCCTACACCCCACAGGCTGGCCCTAACCAGTACTTAGTCCTCTGCAGGCTCTGCTCTCCAATTCTACTGCCCTGTCCTAATTCAGGCCCCACTGTGTCATGTCCACCACCCATCCTGCCACCTAAGTTAATCTTCCCCTACTCGGGGTGATCCCCTCCTCTTCCCCTCTCAGCCAGCCTTCAAGGAAAACAGTCACTTTGGAGTTAATAGCTCGGGTTCTAGAGGCCAATAGCCAAGGTTTTTCATTCTTTTTTGTTTAATTGAGTTGAAATTCACTTAACATACAATTAACCATTTTGAAGAGTACAATTCAGTGGCATTTGGTGTATTCACAATATTGTGCAACCACCACTTCTCTAGTCTCAAAACGTCTCATCATCCCAGAAGAACACCTTGTACCATTAAGTAACCAATCCCTATTCCTTCATTCTCCCACTCCCTGGCAACTACCAATTTCCCTTCTGTAGCTATACATTGGTCTATTTTGGACATTTCATATAAAAAGAATCATAAAATATTTGACCTTTTGTGTCTGGCTTCTTTTACCTACTGTGATGCTTTTGAGGTTCATCCATGTTGGAGTGTGAGTCAGAACTTCATGCCTTTTCACGGCTGGATAATATTCCATTGTAAGTATATAACACAATTTGTTATCCATTCATCCATTGATAGGCGTGGGAGTTGTTTCCATCTGTTGGTTATCATGATTAATGCTGCTACAAACATTCATGTACAAGTTTCTGTGTGGATATATCTTTTCACTTCTCTTGGGTATATACCTAGGAATGGAATTGCTGGGTCATATGCTAATTCTATGCTTAATTTTTTTAGGAATCACCAAACTGTTTTCCACAGAAGTTGCTGCATTTTACATTTCCACCAGCAGTGTACAAGAGCTCCTATTTCTCTATGTCCTTGCCAACACTTGTTCTTTTCCGTTTTTTAAAAAAATTATTATAGCCATCCTAGTGAGTGTGAAATGGCATCTCATTGTGGCTTTGATTTGCATTTCCTTAAAGATCAAAGATGTCGAAAATCTTCATGTGCTTGTTGGCCATTTGTATATCTTCTTTGGAAAAATATTTATTCTGATTTTTTGCTCATTTTTTGTATAGTTGTTTATCTTTTTGTTGTTGAGTTGTAAGAGCTTTTATATATTTTGGATATTAACCCCTTATAAAGTATGTGACATGTAAATATTTTCTCCCATTCCTTAGATTATATTTTCACATTTTTATAATGTCCTTTGATGCACAAAAGTTTTTAATTTTGAGTAGACCAAATTATCTATTTTTTCTTTTGTCGCTCATGATTGTCGTGTCAAATTCAACTTGGGAAATTTCAGTTGTATAATATAGTGTTATCAATTCTAGTCACCATGTTTTACATTAGATCCTCAGACTTTATTCATCTTAGTGCTGGAAGTCTGTATTGTTTTACAAACCTCTCCCTATTTCCCCCGCTCCCCAGCCCCTGGCAACAACTTTCCTACTGTTTCTATGAGTTTGACTTTTTTTTTTTTTTGTATAGAATCCTTCAGTGACACCATGCAATGTTTGTCTCTCTGTCTGACTTATTTCACTCAGCATAATGCCCTCAAGGTCCATCCATGTTGTTTCAAGTGGCAGGATTCTTCTTTTTTATGGCTGAATAATATTCCTCTGTGTGTGTGTCCGTGTGTGTGTGTACATTACATCTTCTTTATCCATTCTTCTGTTGATGGACATGTAGGTTGTTTCCACATCTTGGCTACTGTGAACAATGCTGCAATGAACATGGGAGTGCAGATATCTCTTCAACATCCTTTTTTCATTTCCTTTAGATATATACCCAGAAGTGAGATTGCTGGATTATATGATAGCTCTATTTTTAATTTTTTGAGGAATCTAAATATTGTTTTCCATAGTGGCTGCACCAATTTACATTCTTACCAACAGTGAACAAGGGTTCCCTTTTCTCAACATCTTTGCCAATATTTACTATCTCTTGTCTTTTTCATGACATGTATATTCACAAGGGATATTGGTCTGTAGTTTTCTTTTCTTGTGACATCTTTGTCTGGCTTTGGTGTCAAAGTAGTGCTGGCATCATAGAATGTGATAGGAAGTGTTCTCTCCTCTCTTTTTTGGAAGACTTTGAGTAGGATTGAGTTAATTCTTTATTTTTTTTCCTTTTTCTCCCCAAAGCCCCCCGGTACATAGTTATATATTCTTCGCTGTGGGTCCTTCTAGTTGTGGCACGTGGGACGCTGCCTCAGCGTGGTTTGATGAGCAGTGCCATGTCCGCACCCAGGATTCGAGCCAACAAAACACTGGGCCGCCTGCAGCGGAGCGCGCAAACTTAACCACTCGGCCACGGGGCCAACCCCTTAATTCTTTATTTTTAATACCATTTTTTTATTGTGGAAAAATATACAAAGCAAAAAACTTACCAACTTAACCATTTTTACGTGTATAGATCAGTGGCATTAAGTACATTCACATTGTTGTGAAATTATCACCATCATCCATCTACAGAACTTTTTTCATCTTCCCAAACTGAAACTCCACACCCATTAAAGAGTAACTCCCCATTCTCCTACCCCCATCCCTACTACTTTCTGTCTCTCTGAATTTGACTACTCTAGGTATGTCATATAAGAGAATTACACACTATTTTTATTTTTGTGACTGGTTTATTTCACTTAGAGTAATGTCTTCAAGGTCCATTCATATTGTAGCATGTGTCAGAATTGTCTTCCTTTTTATCACTGAATAACATTCCCTTGTATGCATCTCACATTTTATTCATCCATTCATCTATTGATGGACACTTTGGTTGCTTTTACCTTTTGGCTATTGTGAATAATGCTGCTATGAACATGTGTGTACAAATATTTATTTGAGTCCCTGCTTTCAGGTCTTTTGGGTATATATCCAGAAGTGGAATTGTTGAAGTGGATCATATCCTAATTCTATTTTTAATTTTTGAGGAACTTCCATACTGTTTTCTATAGTGGCTGCACCATTTTACATCCCCACCAGCAGTGCACAAAGGTTCCAATTTCTCCACATCCTTGCAAACATTTATTTTCTGTTTTCTTTTGCTTTTATTTTTGTTTTTTCTAACAGTAATTCTACTGAGTATGAAGTGGTATCTCATTGGGGTTTTGATTTGCATTTCCCTAATGATTAGTGAGGTTGAGCATCTTTTCATATGCTTATTGACAGTTGTGCATTTTCCTTAGACAAATGTCTATTTAAGTCCTTTGCCCATTTTTATCCAGTTGTATGCCTTTTTGCTACTGCGTTGTAAGAGTTGTTTATATATTTTGAATATTAACCCCTTACAATATATATGATCTGCAAACATCTTCTCTCATTCCCTGGGTTGCCTTTTCACTTTGTTAATAGTGTCCTCTGATGCATAAAAGTCTTTAATTTTGAGTAATCCAATTTATTTTTTCTTCTGTTGCTTATGATTTTGGTGTCAAATCTAAGAATCCTTTGCCAAATCTGAGGTCACGAAGATTTGCCCTCTATGTTTTTGTCTAAGAGTTTCATAGTTTTAGCTCTTATATTTAGGTCTTGATCAATTGTGGGCTTTAATTTTTTTATATGGTGTAAGCTAAGGGTACAACTTCAGTCTTTTGCATGTAGATATGCAGTTTTACTATCACCATTAGTTGAAATTCCACATTTCTTCATTAAATGTTCTTGTCAGCCTTATCAAAAATCTTTTGACTATACATGTGAGGGTTTATTTCTAGGCTGTGTATTCTAGTCCATCAGTCTATATGTTTGTCTTTACGCCATTACTATATTGTTTTTATTCCTGAGGATTTGAAGTAAAATTTGAAATTAGAAAGTGTAAGACCTCCAACTTTGTTCTTCTTCAAGATTTTTTTTGGCTATTTGTGGACTCTTGAGATTCCATATGAATTTTGAATGGATTTTTCTATTTCAGTAAAAAAAATGAAAACCACTGATTTTGATAAGGATTGCATTGAATCATAGGTTACTTTGGATAGTATTGACATATTAACAATATTAAATCTTCCAATCCATGGGTATGGGATGTCTCTCCATTTAATTAGGTCTTCTTTAACGTCTTTCAGTAACATTTTGTAGTTTTCCGTGTACAAGTCTTTCACCTCCTTGGTTAAGTTTATCCCTAAGTGTTTTATTCTTTTTCATGTTATTATAAATGGAATTGTTTTCTTAATTTCCTTTTCAGATTGTTCATTGTTAATGTATAGAATGCAACTGATTTTTGTGTGCCAATTTTGTATCCAGTAACTTTGCTGAATTCATTCAATAGTTCTAACATGTTTTTTGTGGAATATTTAGAATTTTCTACACATAAGATCATGTCATCTGCAAAAAGAGATAATTATACTTCTTCCCTTCTAATTTGGATGCCGATTTCTTTTTCTTGACTTATGGCTTTGGCTAGGACTTCTAGTACTATAGTGAATAGAAGTGGCAGAGGCAGGCATCCCCACCTTGTTCCTGATCTTAGGAGAAAATCTTTCAGTTTTTCATCTTTGAGAATGACATTAGCTGTAAGTTTTTCATATATGACCTTTATTAGGTTGAGGTAGTTTCCTTCTATTTCTAGTTTGTTGAGTGTTTTTATCAAGAAGGACACTTGAATTTTTTCAAATGCTTTTTCTACATCAATTGAGATGATCATGTTGGTCTTTTTCCTTTCATTCTGTTAATGTGGTGTATTACATTGATTTTCACACATTGAACCATTCTTGCGTTCCAGGAATGAATGCCACTTGGTCCTGGGATATGATTCTTTTAACATGCTGTTAAATTTGGATTGCTAGTATTTTGTTGAGGATCTTTGCATCAGTATTCATGGGGGTACTGGTAGGCAGTATTCTTTTTTAGTACTGTCTTTGTCTGGTTTTGGTATCAAGGTAATGCTGGCCTCATAGAATGAAAGTATTGGAAGTATTCTCTCCTCTTCAATTTTTTGGAAGAGTTTGAAGAAGATTGATGTTAATTCTTCTTTAAATATTTGGTAGAATTCACCAGTGAAGGCATCTGGTCCTGAACTTCAATTTGTTGGAAGTTTTTGATGACTGATTCAAACTCCTTACTTGCTATGGGTCTATTTGGATTTTCTATTCCTTCTTGCATCAGTTATGGTAATTAGTATCTTTCTAGGAATTCGTCCATTTCAGCATCTTGGGTTCTAAACAGAGGCCAACCAAGATATTTGACATCTCTAAGCAGCCATTTCTTCACTGTGATGATAATCATACCAATCGTAGTCATGGGATCTGCACAGTACCTGATTCAACACTTGTAAGCAGGTTGTCACCACTCTCATTTCCTGTTATTCTGTCAATGCCCCCTACTCCAATCAAGGTGACTGAATCCCAACCTAACCTCGTCCTGACACCCATCCCCAAATCACAATTCCATTTTTCTCACTGTCACTTCTCTGTCAGACCAGACCTAAGTGCTTCATAGCATGAGGTACCCAACAGAATCACATCTGACAGATAGGTGCTGGCAGGGCTGCACTTCCAGCCCACAACCCTTCTCTGCTTCAGTCAAGAAAACGGCACCAGAGTCAGCCAAGAGCTGTGAGGGAGGTCCGTGGGAACAAGACACAAAGGACAGTGTCCATCAAATACCCACGTTTCTGCAGAAGAGTGACAGCTAAACCCACTCCTGGGTTTAGCTGAGGGATTCCTCAGCTCATCCTGGACATATCCAGGGAATGTTGGCCCTGTGGTATCATGAATGTGGCTTTCTGTGGAATCTCATCTCTGCAGCCAGGAGCATGGCAAAGCCAGGATGGTGGGCTCAATTTCACACTCATGCGTAGCCTGATTCTTGCAGCACCAGGTGAACTGCATAGAGAACCAATGCCCCCACTACCTACAGGACAGTGACTCTCCAGAAAAATCTTCCCTCCCCAGTCCCACAAGGGGTCTTCTGAGGAATCACGGGATGACCCCAACATGCAAATCCTCTCCTTGGTTTCTTGTAGTTTTCATTGTATAAATCTTTCACTTCCTTGGTTAAACTTATCCCAAGGTATTTTATTCTTTTCGTTGCGATTGTGAATGGGATTGAGTTCTTGAGTTCTTTTTCTGTTAGTTTGTTGCTAGTGTATAGAAATGCTACTGATTTATGTATGTTGATTTTATACCCTGCAACTTTGCTGTAGCTGTTGATTGTTTCTAATAGTTTTCCTATGGATTCTTTGGGGTTTTCTATATATAAGATCATGTCGTCTGCAAACAGCGAGAGTTTTACTTCTTCATTGCCTATTTGGAGTCCTTTTATTTCTTTTTCCTGCCGAATTGCTCTGGCCAACACCCCCAGTACTATGTTGAATAGGAGTGGTGAAAGTGGACACCCTTGTCTTGTTCCTGTTCTCAGAGGGATGGCTTTCAGTTTTTGTCCATTGAGTATGATGTTGGCTGTGGGTTTGTCATATATGGCCTTGATTATGTTGAGGTACTTTCTCCTTGGTTTCTGACAAATAGTGAAACACAATTCCATAGATTTTTCTGTATTTCTCAATCAACATGCAAGCTCATCTGTCTTACATGCACACCTTTCCCAACCATCTCAACCTTCTACTGCATCCTCCAACACTCACAGTCCACCATTAACAGAAATCCTTCTATTTTCTTCTTACCTGAATATTCTCCATTTCTTCTCGCTCTAGCTGAAACATGGACGTCCCCCCTCCATCCTCTTAAAAAAATAAAGTCCCTGCTCTTTAATGCTCATGATCTACTAATCTTCTCCCCTTCCTTCATGGAAAATCTAGCGCCTGGCTTGCTGGTTTTGTCTCCACTTCTACTCTTAGCATCATTCTTGTTCCTGTTAATATCCACTGAGATGAGCCAACTATTGCCTGGCCTCTCTGTTCCTTGACCTTCCCCCCGACTCTCCCCCATCATCTCAGCTCCTTATTCCTAGAACTATGTTACACTTGCTCATTACCAATGACTACCAATGAACATTACCATTACCACCTTCAAAGCCTTAACTTTAGATGTCCCACTCTCTGTTCACCTTTCCTCCTGGCTCACTTCCTCCAATACTTGTATCCCAAGACTTCTTTATCCATGTGAGGACCTCCAATCCCGTGGCCTCCTGCTCCTCCTCCCTCCTGCCCTCACCTCCTTCTGTCCCAAGCTTTGATCCCACATCCAGCAGTAACATCACACACACACTTCTCTACCTCCTTAAACTTGTCTGGGAAAGCCCAAATCTGGGTAACACACTTCTCTATCCATGGTGCCAAGTCATGAACATGGCTAGATAAAAGCACAAACTGTGCTGGCTGGTCCTGCTTGAAAGTTATGACCATAAATCTGAAGTATTTGCTCAGCACTTCCCACTGTTCAGAGGGGCTGTCTGCTCTTGCTGTGTTCTTTATGTCTCATTATCTCTTGAACCTGCTGCAATAAGGCTTTGGTCCCATCATGCCAAAGAAACTGTTCCTACGAAGGTCACCAATGGCCTCTGCCTTTCCACATCCAGTGAACAATTCTCAGTCATCATCTTACTCTACCTCCCAACATGATTTCACATGATTGATTATTCCTTCCCTCTTGAGATGCTTTCTTCCCTTGGCTTTCGGGGGCACTGCCCTCTCTTAGTTCTCCACTTGCCTCACTGACTGCTCCTTCTCAACTTCTGGATCCAATGCTCCTTTCTGTCTCCTAAATAGCCCCAGGGCTGAGTCTTCATCGGTCTTCTCAAATCACACTCTCCCTAGGTCAGTGCTCCTCAAAGTTTAGCACACACAGAATCACCTGGGGAGCTTGTTAAAACTCAGATTCCTGGGTCCCTCTCCCAGAGATTCTGACAAGGTGAGTCTGGGGAGGGCCCAGGAATCTGCATTTCTAAGTGCTCAGGTGATGCTTAAGCCATGGGTCTCTGGACCACACTTTGTGTAGCAGGGACCTAGAGAACACCATCCAGCCCTATAAATACACCAAACACTAGTGATAACTACTTTACATATCCAACCCATAGAACTACTAGGCACCACTGTTCCCTCCCTCCCTAAGCCCACGCATGTAGCTCCCCAGTCTTCCCATGTCAGGGGGAAAACCAATCACTCCATCACCCCAACAGACCCTAGGGCGCAGCTTTCTTTCCCATTCTCTCATGCCCATGTTCAATCATCAACCACATCAGCTCCACCTTTAAAATGCAGCCCAATTCCACCCAGCTCCTCTCACTCCCCAGCTTCTCCAGGCCATTGTCACCTTCAAGTCCTGCTCACTCCATAGCCTCTCCTGACCAGAAGCCAGAGTGAAGTTTTAAAACATCAAGCAGATCATGTCTCATCCCTGTTCAAAGTCTCCCAAAGGCTTCTGCTGACTTCAAATAAAATCAACACTCCTGGGACCCAGCCCACCAGCCTCCCCACCCTGATCCCATTAGCTTCCTATGGCCCCTCTGCCCTAGGCACGCTGGTCGCAGTGCTGCCTCCTTATATCCCATCGCCAGTGTGGAAGTCCTTCTAGAAGATGAAAACTAAGGGATGACTGCCCCATGGAAACTTAAAACCCTTTCCACAGAAGTAAGGCTGGGCCCACAGGAGTTCATTACCCAGTGGGTCCTTTTAGGATTATGAGGTCATCATCTCTGGGGAAACAAGGGCCATCAACATGGAATCAGCTTGTAATGTGACATGAATCAAAATCAAGGATCAACAAGTGACGTGGAGGGACCCGAGATAGACTGAGACAGGCAGACACAGGCTCTGGGATAGGCACAGTGGCCAGGACTTACCAGAAAGGAGCAAAGGAAGATGAAGGAGACGAAGTAAAAATAGGCAAAGTCGCTCCCACACTCACTGGCATTGGCATGCTCATCACAGGCCTGGTTGCTGAGGCAAGACAGCATGATCTCATGCCAGGCCTCCCCGGTGGCACTCCTGAGAAGAAGGGCAGAGCTATGAGGCCCACGAAGGAAGGCCCAGGAGAGGCCTGGGGAGGAATTGGGGGAGCCTGAGCACTCAGGAGAGCTGTGTCAAGTGTACCCCTCCCCGCAGAGAACCTCACTCATATAAGGTCTGGGAACAGATGGTTGCTTCTTAAAAAGAACCCTCTGGAATTAGATTTTCAAATTGATCATTAATTGGGAAAGCACTAGTTGGTAAAAATAATCCAGTGAACCAGAAGTCAGCACCATGGTGAGCACCCCTTTGCGGGCATCTGATGCCTCAAAGCCAAAACACCCCACCTGGACTCCTGATCTCCTCCCCAATACCAGCCATCCAAACACCTTCAAAAAACAGCCACAGCTTACCATTCTCACCACCCCGGGTAAGCAACAATCACCCCCCTGAGTTGCTACAGCAGCTTCCTGATGGATCTTCTCCCTCTACCCTCCCTACCCAGCAGCCCAGCAGGTCCACTAAACAGGTCAGATCAGGTCACTTCTCCTCTCAATGATGCCCTCACTCACTGAAAAAGCCAAAAGCCACATGACTGCCCACAGCTTAGTGAGACCTGCTCCTGCTCTTTCCCTGACCTCACCCCCTACTGTGGTCCTTGCTCTACCCAGTCCAGCCACACCAGCCTCAACAGTCTCTCAAACACATCAAGGACACTCCCACCCTGAGCAGCCACCCTGGAGGACCCTCCTGCATGGACTTTTGCTCCTGGACACACAGCCAGTACCAGGAGCCAGATGTGCACTAGACTTGCAGGCAGGCCAGAGGCCTGGATCCCCCTCTCTGGTGCACCTGTGTGATCAGCCCTGGGGAGAAGCTGGGCCCACTCCCCACTGACAAAGGCCAGGTGTAGGGGCTTCCTGAAGGGCAGCTGGTTCAGCCGGTGCCAGGCCTGACTGATGAGGGTACTCACATGTAACAGAAAGATCAGGGAGGAAGAGAGGTCTTTGAGACCAAAGGCTTAAAACTAAGGCTGACTTCATAGACCTGCCTCAAATATTTTGTGGCACAAGGCAGGATTTTAATAAATGAGGAAATAAAAAAGTAACAGCTAAAGTCCAGAGAAACGATGCTATTTGAGAAAAGTGTAAGCCTAAGGATGCTTGTTCACCTGATGCAAAGAACAAGAGTCAGAAAACTCTCCAGGCAGCTCAACAAAGCAGGCTTGGGCTGAGCACACCACCCACTGCGAGAACTGCCACGAGCCCCAGAACTCTCGCACAGGGCAGGCTGTATCAGGCAGGCCTTGCAGCAGCAGATGCATTGGCATAAATGAAAGTCAGTGGTGAAACCTCAGGAAGGAGCCCCAAGGCAGGGTCTCTACCATAAATCCCTACGAAGAGCTCTTTTCTTCCCTCCTAGGGTCATGGTGGTAAGCTTGGCTAAACAAGCGTGACTATGGAGGCAGGGAGACACAATCACGCTCTTCCCTCTGCCACCAAGTTTGTCCTCAAACCAGGATGGCCAGCAGCCCCCATCCACAGAGGGTAGGCCACCCCCAAGAATAGCAGCTGGCCCTGAGCACTCCCTCAGGCACATCTTCACAGGGAGACCTCTGAGCCTGAAACAAGCCCTGTGCCCCTCAAGTTTCCACCCTGGTGTGTGGCTAGGCTGCACCCCAGAACTGAGGGAACAACGGTTCCCATGAGCGACGGTGGCAGGTGGAGTGCACTCAGACCAGCAGTTCCAGCCAGTTGGGTTCCCTGGGTCACTGAGTAGCTACACACTCTGTCAACAGCCCTGCTAGTCCCTGCTCCCACAGATCTCTGCAATCAACAAGGTGAGCAGATAGAAAGCTGGAGGCCAGCACACCAAGAAAGGCCCTGCTAGGCATTGCCTGTCCTCCCTGATGTCTCAGGCTGCAGCCTCACTGGAGGCCTTTGGCTGCTGCCAGACAAGGTGGCAGAGCCCAGCCTGGCCTGGAACTCGCAAGTTGACCTCCCTCAGGTGCTTCCCTTCAGTCTGTCCTGAGGCCCTGGAGCCCTTAGGAAAGGACAAGCAGATGGGAAAAACTGGAAAGGTCCACTGAGGGGCAGCCAGCGTGACCTGGGGCTGGAAGGGGCTGGTCCCAGGGTCGGCACATACCCTCTCCATGCCGAATGAAGTAGCCTCTGAGCCTGGGATGACCTCCCAAACAACACACCTGAACAGCAGCATCAAGGCTTGTAAAAATGTCCGGAAGTTGTTGTGTCGGTTGATGCTGGTGTCATCATCCAGGGCAATATTTCCAAACACCTGGAATGGAAAAGGAGGCTGCAGGGGACACTGCTGGGCCTTCAAGAGCTGAGGCCAGGCAAGACAACGTGTGTGTGCACGCGAGGACCCACAAGGGACAAGATGCTGCCCTTGGCCAGAGGATGCCCCCTGGGAGCCACCACCGCTGCTGCCGGGGCCAGAGGGGCCGTGCTTCTGGCTCTGGCAGCATCTGTGCATTTCCAGGGTAGAGAAACCTCTTGAAAGCCAAGCACATCACTGTCCCACAGCTCAGCACGTGCTGGCTCCGGCTGAGCCCGTCCAGGGTTGCAAGTCTGCGTGACCAGAAAAATGGGACCCAGCTGTGCTATCTATAAGACAGTAAGCATTTTAAAGTTCATTCTCTCATCAATGATTCCAAAGCAGTAGTTATACTGGTAATAGCTCTGATAGAGCACTTGAAAGTTTCTTTTTTAACTTCTGGACAAATATCATGATGCGCTTTTTATCCATTTTAATTGATTTTTTTCAGGGTTAGAAACGCAAATGAGTCAGTAACTATATTTAGCTTAAAATCTGGAATCCGGCTGAAAAACTTATGAATTATCTATCACATATCCATCCAAAACAAAGATCAGTGACATACATGTTTTTGTATGTCCACAGACCAAAGCAAGGAAAAATATATATTTGTTTTAAATAGCGTTAGATATCAGCAAATTTTAAAGCAAGAGAAATTTGAATCCCTGAAATAGAGTTTAAAATTCAGTTTCCAGCTAACCTTTAAGACATTGGCTCCTCCCACCATAAATTAACATTCGGGTCCATCTCCCAACCCTACTGTTGGAAAGTGGCCAGATGCCAGAGGTTCATAACTGGGACACTGCTTTGTGTCTTTTAAACGCTTTCCCAAATAGCTGACAAAGTGTTCTTTGGCAAAATGAACACAATCTCCATTATGCAAGTAAATTGACAAGTACATGATCTGACACGATTCTGTCGACTTCTTTCTGCAGTGGGACATAATCTCCTGTAAAGGATCTGTCCTTCAGAACTGCTACCAGACCCACAGAACGACCCACTGCTGCTCTGTGGGCCATCGGCGCCATGCAGACGTGCTCCAAGGCTCCACCATGGGGGCCCAGCACCCACACATGCACACTGCATCCCAACAGAGACAGTGTGGTTCCAGTCAAGAGCACCTCAGAGGGCAGATCTCCCCTTGTTAGAAGACCCTGGGCAAGAGGCCTCAGTGTCCTCATACATAGAATAGTCTTGCTGAGGATTAAGCTCATAAAGTGCTCAAAACAGTACCTGGCTCATAGAAATGTTTGCTAGGTGTCAGTTTGTCATTACTATGATTTAATGACCATGATCAATGCCCTTTTGCCCCAGGGGACAGGAGCTCCTTGTGCACCACCATCCCCGTGGCCGCACCCACCTGCATGCCAATGATGGCATAGATGAAGAACAGCATGGCGATGAGCAGGCACACGTAGGGCAGGGCCTGTGGAGACACACAGAGGACCCGTCAGCTGCCCCGCAGGGAGTCCTGCCCTGCCGCCCTGCTCAGGCCTCTTCCAGAGAGTGGACGGTGACCGGGTCTCTGGGGCCACACAGACATCGGCCCCGACTCCAAGAAGTGACCACCTCAGGTTCCTCATCTACAAATCAGAGTCATAAAACCCACCTCCGAGTTTTGGGAACATTAACAAGATGCTCTCTGGATGACTTAAAAGGTCTTTCTAAACTACAATAGGGGCCAACAAGCAGATGTGGACTCCGGCCCCTCCCAGCCTTCCAGAGGAGGGGCAGATCCGGTGTGGGGGAGCCACGTGCCTCTGCACGACAAAGAGGGTCAGCCAGGCCCCACCTTGAAGGACTGGACGAAGGTCCACAGCAGGATGCGGATGGTGTAGCCCTGGCGGAGCAGCTTGATGAGCCGGGCGGCACGGAAGAGGCGGAGGAAGCTCAGGTTGATGAAGTTGTTCTGCAGGGGCGAAAGGGTGCTCTCTGACCTTTGGAAGTCAGACCCTCATGAGTGCAGGCAGGCTGCTGCCTACCCACCTCTCCTGGGTCACTGTGGTCCCGAGGAAAAGTGGGTAAAGAGAGAGATTAACACAAAAGTCACCACTTCACAGTCTAAGCAGCAATCAGCCACCAGAAAACCTCCGAAAGTAAAGCTTGTCCTTGCAAGTCACTTCTCATGCAGCACATCAGAGAAACCCCTCACTCTAGGCTCCCCATTCCCAACAGCCAGGGACAGTGGGAAAAGTTCTCCGAAGCAGCTCCCTGCTGCCAGGTGGACCGGGGAGATCACCAGTGGCTGGGCCTCCAACACTGACCGCCTCTCAGGACACAGCCAAGTAGTCCAGGGCAGGGCTGCTTCGCCACTGAGCACCTGGGACAGGACCGCCCCAGGCTCAGTGGCCACGCCCTTTCCCTTCCCCACAAGGCCCGCAAAGCCCCTGCCTGCTTGGGGGCCAGTTGCGGGGCAAACACTTCCTCTGGGGCTGCTCCAGGCACCTGCAGACAAGTCACTGCAGGAGGCATAAGTGTTAGTGGTCCTGCTGCTCACGCCACAGAAGCCACCTTGCAGTCCACAAACAGGTCTCTGCTCCAGGGAACCTGGGAGGTCTGCACTGCTCCCTCATCCAAGGGGTTCAAAACCAAGCACAGAAATAAACCAACAGTCTCTGGACTCCACAGATTACCTGGGAGTGAGGCTCCCACTCTGGCCTGGGGCACCTTGAAGTACTGGCTCATCCCTTTCACGGGGCACGGCTCTGGACAGTGTCCGTGAGTAGATGGGGGTGCTTGTGGACCCAGGCGGTTTCCCACCCTCTGTCTGCTGAGAGACCAGGTGCCCACACGCAGCCTGAGAACAGCTTCCTGCCACTCTGGTATTTTAAAATATGCAAGCAGCTCAGACTTAGACACATCGTGTTGCCAGATTCAGTGGTCAGATAAAGAGAAAAGAGAACACAGATGTTGAATGAGACAGCAGCAGCAGCAGAGCGCATGCAGGAGGCAGCGGGAGCCTGGGCAGAGCCAAGCGCCCTCACTCCAGGGCTGCCCATCTAGTCTTGGCTGGGACCAGGCGTTCAGTGGAGAGATGGGTCTCATTCCTACTTCTGGGGACAATGGCCCCAACCCACGCCTTGTCTACCACTTCCCTGAAGCTTCTCCACGCTCAGGGGCTGGCTTCTTCCCCCTATTGGGAACCAAAGCGGGCTGGGGACTCTGGACTATCTCTGCTAGTGAGGAACTTACGGGCACACTTGAGGAGACCTCACAGCAGATGTTGGAGCCGTGGGGGCAGACTAGTTTTAGACAATGCCGTGGGGGCAGGCAGCCAAGGAGTGGTCAACTGAGGTCCAGACCAGCAAGAAGGCAGAAGCGGACCCCAGGGAGTGGCCCTGGAGGGTACAAGGGTATGCCCACAGCTCCCTCACCTACCTGCGCTGAGAGCAAGAAACTCAGTAGTAGACAGGACAGCTGAGAAAGGTCACACTTACCATCAGAGCCCGCGGGCCCCAGGAACACTCAGACAGGCCGGTCACCTCAGGAGGATGGGCATGGGGGGTAAAGGGGACTTTCTCGATAGTGCCAGGAAATTCTTTGTACAAGATAATAAAGCAGAGCAAAGGGAGGGGGTTGCCAAGTACCTGGCCTCCTCAGGGGTCTCCACTCTGAAACCACCTGCTCAGGTGGCTCCAGAGGGGCCAGGATTGTGATAAAACTGTCAGCACCTGCCCAGCTCAAAGCAATTTGCCCAGGCAGCTGGCACAGACAAGATTCCCTTAAGATATTGGGGGAAAGACAGGCTTCTGGGTAAGAAAGAAGGGACTGCAGACAAACAAGGCAGAGGAAGGCAATGTTTGTCCAAATTACTTAATGCACAAATGAGAAGCTCAGCTAGTCACTTACTACTTTTTGTTGAGACTCAAGTGCCCACCCCTCCTCCTGGGCTTCTTTCTTGGGGCTCCAGTGGGTACTCAGGAGAGAGGTGGGGGTGTCAAAAGACAGACGGCCCTAGAGAGCCATGGGGACAGATGGTGACGGCAGCCACAGAAGCTTCAAGCACAGCGTGACAGGCTGAGCACGTGTGGCTTAGCCAGGGCGGGAACTGCCAGGCACCACCATGCAGACTGCATGCGGGACAGTAGGGGCAGTGAGCACACGGCAGCCTCCCCATGGCTGTGCACAGTCACCTCTGGCCTCAGCCAACCCCTTGGAAGTGGATACGGTCTGCCCCATCCGCCCAGAGTCCACGGTTTCTGTTGCACTGGGGAACAGTTACATCTACTTCAAAATCAGGCCCTTCTTTCTTGCCACCTACCCCTGAGTCAGGAAAGGCATGTCATCCCACCCTCAATGTGGCAGCTGGTCACTTGAGGGGACACTGGGCCCTAGCTCCTTTGAGCCCAGCTTCCTCATCCACAAGATGGAGTCCTTAGGACATCGTGCCCAGGTGGTGAGGAATCATTGAGAAAGGAAATTTATAAGCGCACTGAGCACCTGAAACACCACCCCACAAAGGTGATCAACTGACCCCAGACCAAGCACATCACAGCCTCTGGTCGGGGTCACAGCAAAGTGAAGGCCTCCCCCTCAGACCAGTGCATGCTGCCGAGGGCCACACAGCATGCTGAGGCTAGGCCCAGCAGGGTACAGAGCAAACTGCTCTCCTGCCCAGCCTTCATTCTCAAGGGGACTGACGAGGAAAGAAAGAAAAGAAACCTATGCACATACCACATACACATACACAGCATGTTAGGGGGAAACGTGTGCTATGAAGAAAGGGAAGGCACGGAAGGGTGGACTCAGCAGAGGCCTGAGTGACATGAGTAGGAGGCTGTGCAGAAGATGCCGCCTGGTACTCCTGCAGCATCAAATGGCATTTTCTCAAAACTCAAGCTTTTCTGCTCCAATTGTGGGACACTTTAATCTCAAATGTTCACTTTCTCTAACAGGAATCTCAAATATTTGCTACTTTATATGAGCCTCTAGTCATAGCCTCAGTTTAGTCTGCTTCCAACATCTTTGCTCTCAAGTATTCCTGAGGGCAGGGAAGGAAGACTGGTTCATGCCTCCTGCACACCGCCCATGAGTCAATGATGCCTGGATAAAAGAGCCCTGCACTCTGCTGTCTCCTGGGACAGAAGCCCCTTTCTACTCAGTAAAGGGCTTACATGACCCCTTCTGAATCATGAAGAGAAAATCTCCAAACCCCCCAGCCCTGTGCCCAGGCCGGACCCCCATGGATGGGTCTGTCCGGAAAGGAAGCTATAGAAGACTTCACCAGAGGCCATGGGAGAGAGCCAAACCTTGTCTACTGGCATGATAGTACGTGCCAGTAGGGAGATGACCATGCAACAGAAACCATGGACTCCACAGGGATCAGGTCCAAAGTCACATCCTGCAAAACCTCCCCAGTCCTGAGCTGGTCCCAATAGGAGGAAGGGCCATAGCACCTACCCACCTCCCACTCAGGAGCCCTACCTCCTCTCTTGGCCAAGCAGGTTCCCACAATCAAATGGCTCCTGGGAGGGCCCTTGGAAGCCCCTGCTGGACCCCAGGAGCTTGGGAGAGTGCACAAGAGGCCAGAGGAGGCGGGTGCACCAGACTCTGAGCACACTCCTCAGGAGGGCAGTGGCAGGGGTCACAGGAAACAGAGGAAAGAAGAGGAGCAGAGCAAGCAAAACAAGGAGTTTTAAGAACCGTTTAAAGTCATGAAACCAACCGTTTCCTATATGTGATGTTTTCATGGATGGATATTTGCATATTATTTACAAATTGGGATGTTTGAGCAGCAGGTGCGCAACATACAGACGGAGACATGGTTCGCATTGTATGTTGTTGGATGGCGCGAGTCAGCAGGCAGGTACGGTAAGTCAAGAACAAAAACAGAAAACAAAAGAGAAAATGAGTCATCAACACAAGCAAAAACTGGAACTCTGAATACTTCATCGGAAAATTTTAGGATTTTGGTAAACTTTGCATATTTTGCTTAAAATGCATCAAATCAAAACATATTTTTGAAATCTGTAGGTTATGCAGACATGGTGGCATTCATTTGCATTCCTGTTTGTAATGCAAATCCAAAGATGACTCACAGACATTTATTTTTTTTTATTTCCAGGCAAAGAAATCAATGTCAGTTTTACGCCTGCTCAGAATGCTCCCTCTACGTGACCCTGGTTAAGACTTGCTCTGTTTTGATTTTTAAGTTGGGGTGGGAACTGACACTCATATTTTTGCCTAAGAAAAAAAAGTGCATTCACAAAGTAACACATGAAGTGACTACAAATGGAAAAGAAAAAAGACACCACTAATCCACATGATGGCTTCCTTTCATCTTTTCTCCTCCAGGCACAGCAGGGTGAAGACTGAGCTCCAGTGGCCAGGGACAGCCGAGCTTTCAAACCCAGAGGCATCCCAGCCCTCCCACCAGCCCTGCTGGGGCTCGAGGGTAGAGGGGGCTGCCACGGAGGGCTCACTCGAAGTGAGGTCTGAAACAACCATGAGCTGTCCTGGCCTCGAGTGTCCAGCAGCTGACAGAGGCACTAGGTCCCTTCAGCCCCTGGACTCCAGGAGCTCTCTGCCTCATCCGGGGCCTCAGGGGGAGGTTTCCCCAGAAGACAGCTGGGTGTCAGTGCTCTCTGCATGTCTGTGGCATTGGCCCTGCCTGTCCTCCTCGTGACGCCCTCTCAGCAGTCACGCTCTCTGGCAAGGAGGCACACACAGGCAGAAAACCCCAGAGCTGAGGCCTTGCAGTTGGGAGCTCAAAGTTTGGGTCCTTTTATCCAGCAGAATAAAGACTCCTGAGTCCAAGGAGGAGGTCCGTAGGAATCAGAAACATAGCCAGCCTTCTCCTCTCAGGAACCACACTGGTATGAGCTGTTTCTGGGGGAAAAGCACATGTGAAGGGGTGGCACTTGGGCAAAGCCACAATCCCAACAGCTGACGGAACAAAGCAACCTTGGATATTTTGTTAAAATGGCAGCTTTCTGCTTTTTGCCTGGATTATTCAGATCATTAACTTTGTAAAACAATGAAACATGTCACATAAAGAATACATATAAATATATGTATACACATTTTAAAGAAAAATAATAAAATATCCATATATTCATCACCCAGTTTAAAAAACAGAATGTCACTATTACTTTTGAAGCCCTTCCTCTCTGTCTCCCTCTTTCCTCTCCAGATGTAGTAACTACCCTTAATTCTTGTTAATAATCACTTTCCTTTATGTTTTACCACAAACTTAAAATGTGTTATGCCTGCCTGTTCTTTTTTTTTTTTTTTTAAGATTATGATAGATTACAGCCTTGTGAGATTTCAGTTGTACATTATTGTTAGTCTTGTTGTGGGTACACCACTTCCCCCTTTGTGCCCTCCCCCCAACCCCCCTTTCCCCTGGTGACCACGGATCAGTTCTCCTTGTCTATATGTTATCTTCCACCTATGAGTGGGGTCATATACAGTTCGTCTTTCTCTGTCTGGCTTATTTCGCTTAGCATAATACTCTCGAGGTCCATCCATGTTGCTGCGAATGAACCAATTTTGTCCTTTTTTATGGCTGAGTAGTATTCCATTGTGTATATATACCACATCTTCTTTATCCAATCATTAGTTTCTGGGCATTTAGGTTGGTTCCAAGTCTTGGCTATTGCAAATAATGCTGCGATGAACATAGGGGTGCAAAGGACTCTTGGGATTTCTGATTTCAGGTTCTTAGGATAGATACCCAGTAGTGGGATGGCTGGGTCATAAGGTATTTCTATTTTTAACTTTTTGAGATATCTCCATACTGTTTTCCATAGTGGCTGTACTAGTTTGCATTCCCACCAACAGTGTATGAGGGTTCCTTTTTCTCCACAACCTCTCCAACATTTGTCACTCTTGGTTTTGGATGTTTTTGCCAATCTAATGGGTGTAAGGTGATATCTTAGTGTAGTTTTGATTTGCATTTCTCTGATGATTAGCAATGATGAACATTTTTTCATGTGTCTATTGGCCATACTTATATCTTCTTTGGAGAAACGTCTGTTCATGTCCTCTGCCCATTTTTTGATCGGGTTGTTTGTTTTTTTGTTGTTAAGCTGTGTGAGTTCTTTGTATATTATGGAGATTAACCCTTTGTCGGATAAGTGGCTTGTAAATATTTTTTCCCAATTAGTGGGCTGTTTTTTTGTTTCAATCCTGTTTTCCCTTGCCTTGAAGAAGCTCTTTAGTCTGATGAAATCCCATTTGTTTATTTTTTCTATTGTTTCCCTCAACTGAGGAGTTATAGTGTCCGAAAAGATTCTTTTGAAACTGATGTCAAAGAGTGTACTGCCTATATTTTCTTCTAGAAGACTTATTGTTTCAGGCCTAATCTTAAGACCTTTGATACATTTTGAGTTTATTTTGGTGTGTGGTGAAAAAGAATGGTCAATTTTCAATCTTTTGCATGTGGCTGTCCAGTTTTCCCAGCACAATTTGTTGAAGAGACTTTCTTTTCTCCAATGTAGGCCCTCCGCTCCTTTGTCGAAAATTAGCTGTCCATAGATGTGTGGTTTTATCTCTGGGCTTTCAATTCTGTTCCATTGATCTGTGGACCTGTTTTTGTACCAGTACCATGCTGTCTTGATCACTGTAGCTTTGCAGTATGTTTTGAAATCGGGGATTGTGATTCCTCCAGCTTTGTTTTTCTTACTCAGGATTGCTTTAGCAATTCGCGGTCTTTTGTTACCCCATACAAATTTTAGGATTCTTTGTTCTATTTCTGAAAAGAATGCCCTTGGGATTCTGATTGGGATAGCGTTGAATCTGTAGATTGCTTTAGGTAGTATGGACATTTTAACTATGTTTATTCTTCCAATCCATGTGCATGGAATGTCTTTCCATCTCTTTATGTCGTCGTCAATTTCTTTCAAGAAAGTCTTGTAGTTGTCATTGTATAAATCCTTCAGTTCCTTGGTTAAATTTATCCCAAGGTATTTTATTCTTTTCGTTGCGATTGTGAATGGGATTGAGTTCTTGAGTTCTTTTTCTGTTAGTTCATTGTTAATGTATAGCAATGCTACTGATTTATGCATGTTGATTTTATACCCTGCTACTTTGCTGTAGTTGTTGATTGTTTCTAATAGCTTTTCTGTGGATTCTTTGGGGTTTTCTATATATAAGATCATGTCGTCTGCAAACAGCGAGAGTTTTACTTCTTCATTACCTATTTGGATTCCTTTTATTTCTTTTTCCTGCCGAATTGCTCTGTATGCCTGCCTGTTCTTAATCTCTGTGATGGGCTATGCCGTGCACAGCCTTCATGGATTTGGGCAAATTTGTGCTCTGACAGTGAGCACACACAGTTTTGAGAAGCACCCCTTTTGATGTGAATGTCACTCGTGTTCTTTCACAGCTGTATGGCACTTCACTGTACTGACATACCACATTCTGTTGACACTGGAAACAGTGCTGCCATGAACATTGGTTCATCTGCCCAGACACCCTGTGGCGTGAAGCTGCCAGCTTGTGGGTACACACGTGTTCAACTTTCTAGGTATAGGCCACTCTCCCAGAAAGAATGCACCACTGCCTCCCCCAGCAGCAGAGTAGGGGGTTCTTGCCGCTCCACATCCTTGCCAACAGCTGGCCCTGTTAGAATTTGTGTTTGACAAATCAGTGGGTGTGAAATGGCATCTCAATGCTATTTCTCTTTGTATTTCTTTGATTACAAATAAGGTTGAGCATCTTTTCCTATGTTACTTGGCCACTGATGTTTTCTATTCTGTAAAATGCCCGACCATACCTTTTGCTCATTTTTCCATTTGGTTGTTTTGTTTTTCTTGTTGACTCACAGAAGAGCCTTGCACATCCTGGACACTAGCCCTTGCTAGTGGTTTGGAAGACCTCCCTGCCCTCCAGCCATCTCATCCAGTCTCATGGGTCTGTTACTATCTTATATACTCGTGATTCCCAACCCTATGTCACTGGCCCAGATCTGTCCTCCAAACACCAGGCCCATCTGTCCAATCGCCTGTTGGATGACTCCTTTGGGAGCCTAACAGGTGACTCAAATCTAATGTACAAATTGCATGGTGACAGTCCCCAACAAACCTGTTCCGCCCACACTCTTTCCCTTTTCAATTAATGCTTATCCATTTTCCCAAGGGCTCAGACCAAAAAGTTTGATGTCATTCTTGCCTCATCTTTCACATCCACATCTAGTCCATCAGCAGCTCTACCTTAAAATTATATCCAGAATTTGACAATTTCTCACCCCTGTCCCAGCCCAGCTCCTTTGCCTGGCTCCCTACAGCAACTCTCAGCAGCTCCATATCCCTGCAGGCCCAATACCCAATTGTCAGCATCTACATCTTTCTTCCTGAGAACTTTCTCAGGCAAGGACACAAGAGCCAGAAAATCAACATTCTCTAGCCCCTACTTCCCAGCAGCTCTCAACCAGCGGCAGACAGGCCGGTGAAAAACACCCCAGCCAACTTGCCACTTGCTGGAATACCTGAGGCTCAGAACTCCCAATTATCACCCACGATAGTAACTGATTTGATAGCACTTCTTATAGGCTGCCTCCCTTCCCTGGCTCACTTTGTCATTCCCCCTATTCCTGGGATCGCCTCCTAAATGAACAACTTGCACCAAATTCTTGTCTCAGAGTCAGTTTCTGGGAGAACCCAACTACGACTGCCCAAACTGGTCTGCCTCTGCCTGTGCCCTGCACTATATTCCCACAGAGAAGCCAGA